ACAATCCAGTTAAGGAATGGGCTAAAGACTGGAAGTCATTTTTTCAATTCAAATGGTCAACAGACAGTTGACAAAATGATCAGGATGACTAGCCACCAGGGAAATGCGAATCAAAACCTTAGTGAGGTTTCACCTCACTCCAGTTAGAGCAGCTCTTACACAGAAACCATCAAACAAGAAATACTGCCAATGATGTGGAGAAAAGGTACCCTAATCCACTGTTGATGGGAATGTGTACTGGTCCAGCTACTGCGGAGGACAGTATAGAGATCCCTCAGAAAGCTGAAAACAGATCTAACCATATGACCCAGCAATCCCACTCCTAGGAATTTACTCAGTGAAATCGGCATATGAGTTATCTGTACCCCCATGTTCATTGTAGCTCAATTCACAATAGCTAAGATGTAGAATCAAGCCAGATGTCCATCAACCAAAAACTGAATAAAGACTGAAGACTAATAAAGAAATTAATGTACACACACACTATGGACTACTACTCTGGTAAAAAAAAAAAAAATGAAATTCCATCTTTTGCAACAAAATGGATGCGACTGAAAACCACTACACTTAGTGAAATAAGCTAGTCCCAAAAAGACAGATACCATATGTATTCCCTGATCTAACTAATAGAGTAATTAATAGAATGTAATGTATTTGAGTGAAATTGATGCTTTGAGATTTGATGATTTTTAACTGCCCTTGTCTCTATTGTCAATGAACATTGTTCTTTGGTTTTTTTCATACTATTTGTTGAATTCTTTTTGTAGAGTTAATCTTATGCATATAAAGATCTTTATATATATGAAATACATGCAATCTGTATACTTTAAATAAAATATAAAAAAGAAAAAAAAAGCCAGTTGCTCTCCACCATATAAAAAAATTTCTAAATTTTAATCTTTGTTTCCAATTTATTTTCAGCCAATTGATCTCATGGTGCATTGTTATTTAAAATTTGGAAAAAAAATCACAGTGTCTATCAGTAAAGGATTTCCAGAAGTTATACTCTTAATTTCAGTAGTGGCTTGAGGAAGCCCAAAAAAATTAAGGACAATTATTCTTTCTGGGAGAATGGCTGGAGAGATTTGGTGCAGTAGCAATTAAGAGGAATGTCTAGAACATATGTTTTGTAAGTAAATGCCTAGCAGAACTGGCCAATAAGTAGAAAAACAAACCAATTTTTTAAAAACTCATGTGAAAGGAAATAAAAAGCCTTTGTGGACTAAGAGGCACCCACTCTCTTCGCCCTCCCACCCTCCTCTGGTTCTATTAGCTTGTTACTTGAAACCAACATCACCACTTGTTGCTTTTTTTCCTTCCACCATCTTAGAGGTTATGCACCTTGGAGGTTATGCTTGTCCAATAGTATCCAATAGTATCAATCGATCAACCTCTCCTTCTCTCTACCCACCTCCTTTCCCACCCAGTTTTCTTTCTTGTCAATCTAGTCAGTATTCCTGGAATATTTTATTGTGTCACAGGAGACAAAGAAATAATCAAACTTTTTTAGTAGTTTAAATTGATGTTTCAGAACTGTGGACAGAATTTGTTATAAAAAATTGAGCTCACTTAAACTCATATCGGAGAGTGACTTTTAAAGTTTGGCCTATTATAGAACATAGTTGTCATAGCTTCAAATGTGTAAGGTACTGATCAGGATATTAAAAATTTGGGGCTAAGTTGTATTTTTTTTCCTTTCTTTCATGAAGGGCAGGGTAAGAGACATTACCATAAAAAGAGATTGACATACAGTAGCACTCAAGCATTAATTGAATAAACTGTTCACCTTGATGATAGAGATAAATAAATGGCTAGCTAAAATGATCATTCTCAATTCACTACAAAGCAAATTTAATTTTTCTTTTTTTTTTTATTGTGCTGTCCATGGTATAAATGATAACAGGTGTTGTTAAATGTTGGACCAAAAACTGAGAACTGAGTTAGATTTGCTAGCATAGGATAATGCAAATTAATTTTAGATGTAAAACTTAAAACATCATTGGATATTTTCTTTGAAGATATAAATTTTAAAGTCCTCTGATGAGTATGCCCAGCAATGAAAATGATCCCTTTACCCACTGTCTAATGTAAGTAGCTTGGCCAAAAGGTTACATGAAACTGTACTAACAGAAACTTGAAAACTTAACAATATACCCTTTGGACAACATTCAGTCATCTGTTATCTGACACTGTTTCTAAATCAATAAACAACACATTTTTACATATTTACATAAACTCACATTTCATATTTGTCATCTCCTCTGAAAAATTTTCCCTACCACTCAGCAGTTTCTTTCTGAAACCATTCCTGGTTAAGCCACTACATGGGATTCACACATTCCATATCAGAGTTCTAGTTTCAGTACATACACTCCACCTCTGATCCAACTTCCTGCTAATGCATTCTCAGAGGCAACAGATGATGACTCCAACACTTGGGCCCCTGACAGCCATGTGGGAAACCTGGATGGAGTTCCAGACTCCTGTCTTCAGACTGGCTCCAGCCTTGACTGTTGCATTAGGGGAATGACCATCAGATGGAAGAGCTTCCTCTTCCTCTTTGGGCCTTTCAAGAAGATGAGAGTAAACATTTAAAAAAATAAAATAAAATCTCTGCTGCTCTTGATGTTCATTTTGAAACACAATCATACATACAATGCCTCCTACTTTTGTTGCCTTACACGTAGTTTATCTACTTGTTTGCACTTCATAATATGCAACAAAAGGCTAGCACACAAATATTAAAATCATTATTTCCTGTATTCCAAGAAAGCATCTCTTTGCTTCTTGAAACATATAGTTTTTCCTTGAAGTTTCTGACAGTCCAGTGAATTCATCCTTTCCATTCATGAACTGTTACTGATCACTCCTCTTGGCCCTCAAATGGCAAAAATTCAGGTAACCACTTACATATGTTGCCATAGATCAGCATTTATCCACCTTTTCCCTTAACAAACACCTGCTGGCAGAAGAGCATGAAGTGTAACACAATAGGCAGGAGCAATATTCAAAACTGCAGATGGCATATAGAAAATTTCTTTGAACCTCACTTCATGTTTTACCTTTAAATACATGAATATTCCATAATTTATTCACTCAAACTATATAGTGCCTAGTACTTGGACTAGACATTGTTACAAAGATACATTGATGAATATACATTTGTTTATTTATAACCTGTACTTTTATACAACTTGGCACAAGTAGGAAAACAAAAACAAAAATTTTCTGAAAACCAATAGCAAAACTGATAATCCAAGATGGTCAATTATTGCTTCAAATACCAGTGGTCTTGCTGTTGCACATCCTGGGATTATGCAGGCTCCAATTTGATAAGCATAATCTTGGGTTAATTCACAGAATGCAATGTTAGTGTTTACTCTAGATGAAAATACTTGGGAATGTTATTAGAACTAACCATGCAGTCTTCAATGGGTTCTATCTACATTCTGAAATAACAAAAATAGAAATCCATTTCAGTATCTGGAGAAATTTTATAAAATTAACCCTTAAAACTCATGTGAAGGCAAGGGAGCAGCATTGTTGAGAACTCAATGTCAAGTCATGTTTGACTGCAACAGCACATTGCTAACCATAGCTTTTTTTTTTTTTTTTTTAACCTTAATTGAACTGCTTCTTCCAGGTTATTTGCCAATCAGCTTCAAAAGGTATCGCTCTTTAGGAAGAGAAAAATCTCACATAACACAAATTTGTCAATTTCTCCCTGTTTAGAAATGAACATTATTGCTATTTCATTCTGTTAGTCTGGGGCCAAGACTGATCAGAAGATTCCCTGAAAAAGTATTGAACTGTATAATGATAGTTTTATCATAATAACTTGCTTTTAATCATGAGGTCTAATTTAAAAATAAATGTGAGATTGATATTGTTGCTTGTAGGTAGGTGATATATATACTTTTGCCTGGAGGAAACTACTAGCAATAGCACAAGTGACTTCCAATTGGGTTTAAGAGTTAATCCTCCAAAAGAGCAGTGACTATGGCCATCCCATACGGATGCCTGTTCAAGTCCCAGTTGCTCCACTTCCGATCAAGCTCTCTGCTATGGCCTGGGAAAGCAGTAGAAAACAGTCCAAGTGCTTGGGCCCCTGCACCCATGTGAGAGACCGGGAAGAAGCACCTGGCTCCTGGTTTCAGATCAGCCCAGATCCAGCCATTGCAGCCATTTGAGGAGTGAACCAGCAGACGGAAGACCTCTCTCTCTCTCTCTCTCTCTCTCTGCCTTTGCCTCTCTGTAACTCTGCCTTTCAAAGAAATAAATAAATCTTTAAAAAATAAAATAAAAGCAAAACAGCAGTGACTGGATAACTTGCATGAAGCCTCGCTCTCCTCACTGGAGCACCCAAGTCAATCTCTTCAAATTATAAGAAGGCCTCATAAAAGTGCATGGATGTAGATGTGTATTTCCCTTGTAGACAATGTACAACTCCAATAATTCAGACCCTACCAGACCAGTTAGAGATGGGGAAAACATCAAAATATATAGACTTTATACTTGCGGGACAGGGGTTGTTAATCAGGAATGTACATCAGAATTACCTATAAAATAGGAAGAAGATTTTGTTGTTTTAAAATTCTGATTACAGCTCAGTGTTCACAAACCTTACCTGAGAGGAGCCTGAATGTACATCTTTTAAAATCTCTACAAATGATTTTGATTCAAACACTATTATAGGACTGAAATCTTTTATTCCTGATTATAATATGAGCTTCTGCTTTTATTAAGACTTAAATTTATTGTGTCTGGAGGCTAGAATCCAGAAGGTTTAATGCTCTTTTCACTCCCGTCTTCTAATACTTATATGAATGATAACATATGGAATCCAAAAACATTCTTGTGTCTCCAGAATGGAAATTCCAAGTTAATCCAATTCACAGTGGCAGCCTATTTCATGCATGGTGTTAGAGGCATGATCCCTCCCCAACACTAAATGATTTTAAATATGGAACCTTGTGCTCATTAATAAGAGGAATTGAAGATTTTACATTTGAAATTTTAAGGTCAGTTTATTAAGTTCAATGATGAAAGCTATCAGAAGAATATTCTCCTGAAAATTATTTTTTCTTAGAAAAAAAGAAAGGAAAATCAAAACCCTCTCAGCTAAGCCACAGATGCTGTGGCAGTCAAGCCTCTCTGCAGTAGGGGATAGTCCATTAATCGGTTGAGTCACTTCCTGGGTCAGCAGGATTGTAGTCTGGATCATCATCATCATCCTCCAGCTCCAAGTCATCCATTTCCTGGAACAAAGACTCATCTACTTCCACATTGTTGCCAGCTGCAAAAAAGCAAAAATTATCTTCATTCTTATGTTCAGGAATGAAAGAAATAGCTCACTGGCAGTACCAAAAATAAACTTTCAAATGTGCATTCGAGGTATGAGTGATAAAATCCCAAACTACCACTGCAATCACACCAACAATGATCTGTATCAGTCAGCAGAGGCTGACCTTTTCAGAGCAACATCATTCTTCCAGTTTATGATTTAAAAATCAGTTATTAAAAAGAGGCCTATTAGGATTCATATGTGGCATCTGATACATGGTGAAGACAATGACACTACAGTTGTCCTGGTTATCCATGACAAATTATCACTGACTTTGGGACCTGTATCAGGTGTTCTCTCTTTTAATATGGCAGATGCACCCTGTTAAAACTCAAATATGCTTTAATTCATTAATTTTACCTTCATGCTTATCCAGTTCCCTTTGTAATCAATAATATGCCTTTCCAAGATTCCAAATGTTTAAGCCCTATGGGAAGCAATAACCAGTCTCTGCATTAAACATCTTCACTCTTCAATCTGTCTGAAGTAGCTAAAAGTAGGATAGTGTAAATCACCATAATTGTTATCTTCCTTCCCTCTCAGACTCTAGCCCATTGACATTCAACTCAGTGAAAATATAAAAGGAATAAATCTTGCTTCATGTGCCTCCAAACAGTTTAGTAATAAAACACAATTTGCTAAATCCAGGCAAATGAATAACTATCTCTGTCTTGTTGAGTTAGTGATGGCTTCACAAAGAAGACTAAGCCTGAAAGATTTTCATGACACATTTGAATCCTCTAAGAAGAAAATGGTGAAACACAAATTCCACATAGAAGTTTATGCAAAAAGAGAGAAATGTTAACTCACTGAATGACGGGAAGACAATAAGGATGAAGGCCACATTGAAAAAGAGAGTCAGTTAACCTTTCTCACTAAGCAGTAGAAATCATCACTGGATTTTAAGGAGAGAAATGTTATGATTAAACATGGATTTTGAAAATACCACCTGAAAGGCAGTGACTATGGAACAGGTAAGGGCAACAGGAGGAAAAAGAGAAGAGAAATTATTTAAGAGGCTACCACAAAGTCCAAGTGAAAATTATAAAAACCTTCAGAACTGGAAATAAAACTGTTGAACAGAATTTTCAGAGTCAAAATCAGCAGGCAGCCTTTGGAAACTTATTGATATGAAACAATACTTGATCCATTAGAAAGGGAACAGTCAAGAATGACTGAAAGGGACCAGCACTGTGGCATAGTGGGCAAAGCATCCACCTGCAGTGCCAGAATCCCATATGGGTGCCAGTTCGAGTCCCAACTGTTTCTCTTCCGATCCAGCTCCCTGCTGACAGCCTGGGAAAGCAGTAAAAGATGGCTCAAGTGCTTGGGCCCCTGAACCCTCATGGGAGACCCAGAAGTAGTTCCTGGTTCCTGGCTTCAGATCGGCCCAGCTCCGGCCATTGTGGCATTTGGGGAATGAACCAGTGGATGGAAGACTTCTCTCCCTCTCTCTCCCTCTATCTGTCTGTAATTCTACCTCTCAAGTAAATAAATAAATAAATCTTAAAAAAAAAAAAAGATTGAAAAATACTGAAAGTTTTCAAGTTCAATATGGAATGAGAAAAAGCTTTTTGGAGCCAGAACTTTCCAGCAACAGAGGAGGTAAAACAAGCTCCTACAGTGAGAGAAGGGATAAAAGAAGGTATCATTGCAGAGGACTGCTTTAGACTTTTTTCTTTTTTTTTTTCTTTTTTTTTTAACTTTTATTTAATGAATATAAATTTCCAAAGTACGACTTATGGATTACAATGGCTTCCCCCCCATACCGTCCTTCCCACCCACAACCCTCCCCTTTCCCACTCCCTCTCCCCTTCCATTCACATCAAGATTCATTTTCGATTATCTTAATATACAGAAGATCAGCTTAGTATACATTAAGTATGGATTTCAACAGTTTGCTCCCACACAGAAACATAAAGTGAAAAATAATAGATGATTTTTTTTAAATGATGATGAAATCAGAGCAGACCTATTGTCATGTTTAATCCCAGAGACTTTTTTCTTTTTTTAATTTTATTTATTTATTTGGAAAGTAAGAGTTATAGAGAGGGAGAAGGATAGACAGAGAAAAATATCCTCCATCTGCCGGTTCACCCCTGAAATGGCATAATGCCATGGGCTAGGCCAGGTCATATAGCCAGGAGCCAGAAGCTTCTTCCAGATCTACCATGTGGGTTCAGGGGCACAAGTACTTGAGCCATCTCCTGCTGCTTTCCAAGGCAAATTAGCAGGAAGCTGGATCAGAAGTTGAACAGCCCAGAACTAGGGAAAACTATGGTGAAATTCATATGGAAAGCAATCTTACACAATAAAAACAAAGCCGGGGACATCATAATACCTGATTTTAAGACATACTACAGGGCAGTTAAAATCAAAACAGCCTGGTACTGGCACAAAAACAGACTTGTAGACCAACTGAACAGACAGAAACTCCAGATTCCAGAAATTAGTCCATGCATCTACAGCCAACTTATCTTTGATAAAGGAACTAAATAAAATCAACCCATGGAGCAAGGACAGTCTCTTTAACAAATGGTGCTGAAAAAACTGATCTCCACAGGCAGAAGTATGAAACTAGTCCTTTACCTTACACCTAATACAAAAACCCACTCAATAAGGATCGAATATCTAAATCTATGACCTGACACCACCAAGTGATTACAGAACATAGGGAAAACTTTACAAGACATTGGCATAGGCAAAGACTTCTTGGAAAAGACCCAAAAGCACAGGCAATCATAGCCAAAATTGACAAATGGGATTACTTCAAGCTGAGAAGCTTCTGCACTGCATAAGAAACACTCAGCAAAATGAAGAGACAACTGATAGAATGGGAGAAAATATTTGCAAACTATGCAACTAATAAAGGGTTAATGTCCAGAGTATATAAAGAATTCAAGAAATTAACAGGGGCCAGCGCTGTGTATGTTAATCCTCCACCTGCAGCACCAGCATCCCATATGGGCGCCAGTTCTAGTCCCGGCTGCTCCTCTTCCCATCTGGCTCTCTACTACAGCCTGGGAAAGCAGCGGAAGATGGCCCAAGTCATTGGGCCCCTGCACCCACATGGGAGACCTGGAAGAAGCTCCTGGCTCCTGGCTTCAGATGGGTGCAGCTCCAGCCGTTGTGGCCATTTGGGGGGTGAACCAGCAGATGGAAGAGCTTTCTCTCCGTCTCTTCCTCTCACTGTCTGTAACTCTTTCAAATAAAAAAAAAAAATCTTAACAAAGAAATTAACAACAAAACAAACGATCCAGTGAAGAAATGGGCAAAAAACTTAAATAGGCATTTTTCATGACAGGAAATTCCAATGCCAAAAGACACTTGAGAAAATGCTCAGAATCATTAGCCATTAGGGAAATGGAAATCAAAACCACAACAAGTTTTCACCTCACTCCCGTTAGAATGGCTCACATACTGAAATCATCAAATGAAAAATGCTGGCAAAAATGCTGGGAAAAGGTACCCTGATCTACTGCTGGTGGGAATGCAAATTGGTGCAACCACCGTGGAAGACAATATGGAGATATCTCAGAAATCTGAATATAGACCTACCATATGATCCAGCCATCCCACTCCTGGGAATTTATCAAACCAAAAGAAATCAGTATATGAAAGAGTAACCTGTACCCTAATGTTCACTGCAGCACAAGTCACAGTTGCAAAGATGTGGAACCAATCCAGATGTCCATCAACTGTTAACTGGATAAAGAAATTATGGTCTATATACACTTTGGAGTGCTACTCAGCTGTTAAAAAAAAAAAAAAAAAAAGTGAAATCCTGTCTTTCACAACAAGATGGCCACAGCTGGAATCCATTATACTTAGTGAAATAAGCCAATCTCAAAAAGACAGGTATCATGTTTCCTCTGATCTGATGTAACAAAGAGAATATCTGAAATGTAATATATTTGCTGAAACAGACACCTTGAGATTCAATGATTATTTATAGCCCTTGTCTCTTCCACTGAGAAACAGTGTTTTGTTTAGCTTTGTTCTGTTTTCTTTTTCTTCATACCATTTGTTGAGCTCCATTACTTAAAGTACGGTTAACTATAAGATTCATTAAGTATACTGAAACTGCATCATGGTAAAGACTAAGAGTGGGAATCCAAGAGGGAAGGGGGTTGAGGGGTTAAGTGTAGGGGTGTGGAAGTATGGTGGGGAAAATCCCACTATGTTCCTAAATCTGGATATATGAAATATATGAAACTTGTATAACTGAAATAAAATTAAAAAATAAAAAAATTAAGAGTGAAAATGTGATAGGGAGGAGGCAGGGTTGGAGCATGGGCAGGAGGATGGGGGGGAGGGAAGTATCACTATGTTCCTAAATCTGTATATATGAAATACATGAGAGGCCAGCTCTGTGGTCCAGTGGGTTAATCTACCACCTGGGCGCCAGCATCCTATATGGGCATCAGTTCTAGTCCTGGCTTCTCCACTTCCAATCCAGCTCTCTGCTATGGCCTGAAAAAGCAGTAGAAGATGGCCCAAGAACTCAGGCCCCTGTACCTATGTAGGAGACTTGGGAGAAACGCCTGGCTTCGAATTGTCTCAGCTCCGGCCGTTGCAGTCACTTGGGGAGTGAACCAGCAGAAGGAAGACCTTTCTCTCTGTCTCTCCCTCTCACTGTCTGTAACTCTACCTCTTGAATAAAATCTTAAAAAAAATACATGAAACTGTATAACAAATAAAATTTTTAAAGACCTTAAAATAAATAAATAAAGTTGAGAAGTCAGGACTCAAATCAGTGCTCATATGGGATGCCAGCACTGCAGGGAGCAGCTTAACCTGCTGTGCCACAATGCCAGCCTCTCTCTTTTTTTTTTTCTTTGAGAGTATAAAAATCTTGAAGTAGCTGCTACAAAGAATGTTATAGAACAGATTTTTAAAATTGTTGAGTGTTGGGGGCCAGCATTGTGCCACAATGGTTTAACCGATTACCTATGATGCTGGCATCCAAAAATCGGAGCACAGATGGAGACCTACCTGCTCGGCTTCTGGTCCAGCTCCCTGCTAATTTGCCTGGGAAAGCAGCAGAAGATGGCCAAGTACTTGGTACCCTGCCACCCATATGTGAGACCATGATGGAGTTTTAGGTTCCTGACTTCAGTCTGGCCAGGCTGTTGCGACATTTAGGGAGTGAACCAGTAGATGCAAGATCTCTTTCCTCTCACTCTTTGTCACTCTGCCTTTCAAATAAACAAATCTTTGAAAAAAACTGTTGACTGTTGATGAAGGCCTAACTTACATTAGGAAGTATGATTTAGTGGTAGGCCACACCAACCACGTTTCTTAACATTCTTCAGGCAATCCAGAACAAAGCTGAAAGGCCAAATATTAGAGGATCAGATGGATGTAACAGAAGGCTAATAAAGTGCCTAACACTAGGGTGTTACCAGAAGTGTGACTAAGTAGGGAGCCCAGTTTAACGAGCCCATGTAAGCTGTCAGCTCTATGAGGACAGAGAACTGATTTACACTGTCCACTGCTGTACCCCAGTGTCCAGGACTATGTAATAAATAGTTGTGGAGGGGCCGGCACTGTGGCGCAGTAGGTTAAAGCCCCACTCTGCATATAGGCACTGGTTCAAGTCCTGGCTGCTCCACTTCTGATCCAGCTCTCTGCTATGACCTAGGAAAGCAGTGGAAGATGGCCCAAGTCCTTGGGCCCCTGTACACACATGGAGACCAGGAAAAAGCTCCTGGCTGCTGGCTTGAGATCAGCATAGCTCTGGCCGTTGTAACCATCTGGGGAGTGAACCAGCAGATGGAAGACCTTTTTCTCTCTGCTTCTCTGTAACTCTGCCTTTCAAATAAATAAATAAATCTTTTTAAAAAATAAATAAATAAATAGTTTTGGATAGATGAATGATGGATAAATGTAAGAGCAAAAGAGGATCAAGGTTATAAGAAAAAGGAGAAGGAAAGAAAAGAGACTAGATGCTCCAGCAAGAATAGCAAGAAAGGTAAAATTCTGGGTTAGGAAGAAGGCTAGGAGTTCCACACCTGAAGTCTCTAACAGCTCCAGAACAGATGACAGAACAGCTTCCATCGATTTGCGATATGAAAAATCTGAAGACGAGAGGACTCCTGAGTCACAGTAGCTCAGTTTACTGGTTGTTAGGGGCTGGTGGGACCACAGTTGTCTCTGTGTTGCTATCTTTGATACTGCTATGTTACCAGAAAACTTTCAAACACATAAATAAAAAACATTCAGTTCAAATATACAAATGGATCAATGATTTGGATTTAACCTTCAAAATGTATTTCTTAACAGCCTTGGAAGGAAAAATTTTTAATTACATAGTTACCACTCAAATTTTCCTGGTTTAAAATTAAAGGCAGCACATTATATACATGTGGAAATCTAATATTATCTTACCATCCTCCAAGAACTGGATATCAGATGTGTCAAGATTATGATCTGTTTCAAACAGCTGTTTCCCTATAAGAAATAAGTCATCTTTAATTTGAATGGCATAGTTATTCCTTCATCTTCCCCACAACTCTTTAAAAAAACAGTTATCCAAGAAAAGAAGATGGAGTACCCACTTTTTTCTTTGAATTGCAATGCATTTATGAATTCATTTGGTAGCTAGGAGGCATGTAAAATGTCTTTGCATTAAAATGGAACAAATGAAAACATAGTCTGCCTTACAGTCCTAGAAAAAACACATTAGTTGCCTCTACCACTTCTAAGGCTTGTGATCCTAAATGTCTGCATCTCAGGAGCTAGCAATTAAATATTTAATTTCAAAAAGCCATAAAAATCAATCATTAACTATGTGTGAAGAAATATTATCATGTTTTGTCTTTTGGTCCTAGATGTCTACATGTATTATTTTTACAGAAATCTGTCCTGGCCGGCGCCGCGGCTCACTAGACTAATCCTCCACCTAGCGGCGCCGGCACACCAGGTTCTAGTCCCGGTCGGGGCGCCGGATTCTGTCCCGGTCGCCCCTTTTCCAGGCCAGCTCTCTGCTGTGGCCCGGGAAGGCAGTGGAGGATGGCCCACGTGCTTGGGCCCTGCACCCCATGGGAGACCAGGAGAGGCACCTGGCTCCTGGCTTCGGATCAGCGCGGTGCGCCGGCCGCAGCGCGCCAGCCGCAGCGCGCCAGCCGTGGCGGTCATTGGAGGGTGAACCAATGGCAAAAGGAAGACCTTTCTCTCTCTCTCACTATCCACTCTGCCTGTCAAAAAAAAAAGAAAAGAAATCTGTCCAATGACCCTCTTGCTACATAAGAAATGATACAGGAGCGTTTGTAGAGAATGAAATGCAGAATGGGCCATACCACTTAATTTATTTTTTCCTGCTTGTTCTTCTTCTTTCATTCGTTTCTTTTTAATTTCCAAGAGTTCTGCATCAAACTTGGCCTTCCAACTTAAGAAATTCTCAATTGTAACAGGTGTGCCATGGAATAATTGCTTAGAAAATAAAAAAAGACATGTCACCATACTTACTTTAACAAGTAAAGTCTACTTATATCTTCCAAACAAATACAACCACGTACAAGAGAAACATAAAAAAAAATAGTTTAAATTTTGAAATACTTAAATGAACTTCTGCCTGCACTGGCTACTCTCGTAGTCTCAGTTACTTATTCCAGAAACTTCTGTCTTTTATTCTTATTACAAAAACCAGACTACTCAATATTCACTGCTTTCACCAGTTATTCATCACTAAAAAGAAAGTTGCTGCTATTAGTATTACAGTTTGAATTCACATCATCGAAAATCATAACTTTTCCACTTTGTTTCAGAATTTGTGATTCTCTTTGTATTTAGTAACTTTAAATTATTGTGGTAGGGACATTATAATTCTGAACACTATACTATAGGTAAAAGCATTTTCAATTCTTGATATAACTGCATGAGATTTACAAACCTTCTGATAACTATCACTCATTGCTGAAGTCATGCCTCTAACTTACTTTTATTCATTTTTCTGATTTCCAAAAAAATTACTGAAATTGCAAAGAACAAAACCCATAAAGAACCAACACCTATCAAGAATAATGAAAGCAAACAAAGCTTTTCAATATACCTTTTCAGCTTCTTCAGCTTCTTTTTCCTTTTGTTTCTTTTCTTCCTCTCTTCTAGTTTTTATCTGATCTACTATTTCATTTAATTTTTCTTGCACAGCTGTCACTAGAGTAAAGATCATCACCATACCAAGATTTTCTTCAGCCTATATAACAACAACAAAAATGATGACACACTTCTTAGAAAAACAAAAACTAACCAATGGAAAAGAAGGCTTCTAAGGAATTCCAAACATTTATAACATGATCACTAATTCAGTTATAACATATGCTCATGCAGCTGGACAAATGATCACTTATAGAGAGTGTATCTGTATTTATATATAAATGATCTTATGTAATTTGCTATATCTAACAAAAAATATTTCAATAAATTGTTTAAGAATCATAAATACAGGTAAATTCAGAAAGCATTTTTCTATAGTAAATTAATAACGTCATTCCTTCAGAATGTTTTCATTATTTTAGTCCTTTTTGAGCATTTTAAAAATTACCTGAATTTTGAGGCCAGAGTAATTCTCTAAGTCTATAATAATAACAACCAATGTGGGTACTTTCAATTTTTTTTTAAAGGATTTATTTATTTATTTGAAAGGCAGAGCTACAGAGAGAGAATCTTTCACCCACTGGTTCATGGCCCCAGTGGCATGGGCCAGTCCAAAATGCCATTTGGGTTTCCCACATGGGGTGCAGGGGCCCAAACACTTGAGGTATGTTTCTTGCTTTCCCAGGCACGTTAGCAGACAGAATTGGAAATGGAGCAGCCAGGACTTGAACTTGTGCTCATACGGATGCTGGCCTCTTAGGCAGCAGCTTAAACCACTGCACCACAACACTGGTCCGGGCATGTCTGTAATTTATATTTACCTTTATCTTAGACTGACTATGGTTTAAAACCAAGACGAGCAGCGCCTCCAACTCACGAAAGAGATACAACTCGACATTTATTCTCCATAGAAACAAGACAGAAGTTCAATGAGATAAAAACCAAAAAACAAAGATCCTACATGAGGAGTAAGTGCACAGTGACTCCTGTTGTTGACTTAACAAATTGACACTCTTGTTTATGGCATCAGTAATCACCCTAGGCTCTTGTCATGAGCTGCCAAGGCTATGGAAGCCCCCTGAGTTCACCAACTCTGATCATATTTAGACAAGGCCATGGTCAAAGTGGAAGTTCTCTCCTCCCTTCAGAGAAAGGTACCTCCTTCTTTGATGACCCGTTCTTTCCACTGGGATCTCACTCACGGAGATCTTTCATTTAGGTTTTTTTTTTCCCCTAGAGTGTCTTGGCTTTACACGCCTGAAATACTCTCATGGGCATTTCAGCCGGATCCGCATGCCTTAAGGGCTGATTATGAGGCCAGAGTGCGGTTAGGACATCGGCCATTCTATGGGTCTGCTGTGTACCTCACTTCCCATGTTGGATCATTCTCTCCCTTTTTGATTCTATCAGCTAGTATTTGCAGACACTATTCTTGTTTATGTGATCCCTTTGGTTCTTAGTCCTATCATTACGATCAATTGTGAACAGAAATTGATCACTGGGACTAGTGAGATGGCATTGGTACATGCCACCTCAATGGGATTGAATTCGAATCCCCTGGTATGTTTCTAACTCCACCGTTTGAGGCAAGTCCAGCTTGAGAATGTCCCGAATTGCACATCTCTTCCCTCTCTTATTCCCACTCTTATAGTTATCATCGGTCACTTTTCAGTCAAGTTTCAGCACTTAAGAAGAATTGTGTATTGATTACAGTATTCAACCAAAAGTATTAAGTAGAACAAACAAAAAAAATACTAAGAGGGATAACATATTAAGCTGCTCATCAACAGTCAGGGTGAGGGCTGATCAAGTCACCGTTTCTCATAGTGTTCATTTCACTTTAACAGGTTTCCTTTTTGGTGCTCAGTTAGTTGTCACCTATCAAGGAGAACAAGTGGTATTTGTCCCTTTGGGATTGGCTTATTTCACTCAACATGATGTTTTCCAAATTCCTAACAGGGATCACTTTTCAGTTAAAATTTAAACACCTAAGAACAATTGTGTGTTAATTACAGAGTTCAACCAATGGTACTAGAACAAAGAAAAATACTAAAATGGATAAAGTACTACATTGTACATCAACCGTCAGGACAAGAGCTGATCAAGTCACTGTTTCTCACAATGTCCATTTCACTTCAACAAGTTTCCCCTTTGGTGCTCAGTTAGTTGTCGCCAATCAGGGAGAACATATGGTATTTGTCCCTTTGGGACTGGCTTTGTCCTTAGTGTGCTGTACATTGAGATTTAATGCTATAACTAGTACTCAAACAGTATTTTTCACTTTATGTTTCTGTGTGGGAGCAAACTGTTGAAATCTTTACTTAATGTATGCTAACTGATCTTCTGTATACAAGTGAATCGAAATGCATCTTGATAGGACTGAACGGGCAGAGGTAGTGCAATCAGAGGATTTTCGGCTCGTAGGACGTTTATCGGGAGGAATGCCATTGTATCCATATTCTGTACTTTGGAAATTGATATTCATTAAATAAAAGTTAAAAAAAAACTGGTAAAAGAGGGCAAACATGCAAGTCCTAACACTTGTTTATGTAAAACCATCAAACTATTTATTTGGAAATACTCATTAAAAATTAAGTTTGTAAATGGAAAATATTGGAAAGGGAAAAATCTGCTTTTAAATTTCATTGAATGATACTAAAACTATTGTTGAATGTTAAAAAAAAAAAAAAGAGACACATTAGATTAGAGGAGTAAGTTTCTTGGCACTGATATGAGTAAGCAGTTTTGGATAAAGTATGCCAAGTTAAAAATGACCTGAGATACCAGATGTGAGACTAAAAAGTGAAACTATGTCATTGTATATATAATATAAGCCACAATCACATAGGAATACACACAGAGACACACACACACATGATGGGTCTTCAAATAGTTTATGGAAAGTGCATTTTATGAAATATTATACATAAATTTCAAAAATTTTTGTACAAAAATGAACATATTTTTTATTCTCATTTGCTGTAAACATTTTGAAGTACTCTTATCTGTGTTATGTATGCATATATGTGTTTTATATGTATATATATGCATTGTATTATGATGTGCACATGTTATATATTATATGAATACATATATATATAAGATTAAGAAAAAAAAAACCAACACACAAAAAATTCAAACAATACTCGCCAAACTCTCAGTCTCAGAATTATCCAGTATTTATTGACAGGGCTGGCCTCAGCAGCATTTTAATGGGTATTTTGCTCCCTAGGCTTTCCACAAGCACAAGGCTTCAAGCTATCCCCTGTAATCGTCCTCGGTGCGGCTTTTCAGTGATATCTTCCTGCTAAAAATCTTCAATATATGACTGAACAAACCTCTCTTGAATGCCAAACCCATTTTTTAAAGCTACACATTGGATGATGATATAATGTTCCACAATCACCTCAACACTGAAACTAGCAACTCTGTAAAATCCATCCCTGGGTTCTCAAACTCAGCTAATCACCATACTATCTACCTAGTCTGAACATCTCTATCTCACATAAGTTCAATCATTGCCTCTTAAACATCATTAAATCGGCCCACTATTCCTTATCAACACTGTTATTATCCCAGTCTATCCCAGCTCAAGAAACTCCTAACTGGTCCTCTTGAAACCTATGAATCAGGGCCAGCGCTGTGGTACAGCAGGTAAAGCCACCACCTGCAGTGCCAGCATCCCTTATGGTGCCAGTTCAAATCCTGGCTGCTATCTTCCGAGCCAGCTCTCTGCTATGGCCTGGGAAAGCAGTAGATGATGTCCCAAGTGCTTGGGTCCCTTCACTGACATGAGAGACCAGGGAGAAGCTCCAGGTTCCTGGCTTCAGATCATCCTAGTTCCAGCCATTGCAGCCATTTGGAGAGTGAATAACCAGATGGAAGACCCCCCCCCCTCCTCTTTCTCTCTCTCCCCCCATCTATATTTTCTCACCAACCCCCACCCCACTCTCCTCCCTCTCTTAACACCCTTTAACAAGCTTGTTCCCTGAAAACTCTCCTGCATCCTTTATTCCTTTATTGTCTACCACACTCTTTCTATGGGTCTCATACTCCTCCCAAAGCTTCTCCAGTGCTTCAAGTCTGTGTCCACCCATACAACTCTGTACTTCACCTGTTATACCATTTTTCACACAGAATAATGATTTCCAATTTTCCAATCCAGAGTATAAAACCTCTGAGACCAGGGATGGTGTCTATCTTCAGTAGTCAATCTAATGCTCAACACATTCAAATAAGAAAACTTTTACTTCATAAAAGTTAAATATCCTCAAGGAAAGTATAAAAATAATTATTCATATGGAAATTAGACAACTCAGAAGTCCAAAAGTTCCATATCCCTAGTGTTCAAAGAAATATAAATTATAACTATATACCATTTTCATTTTGTCATCTTTTTTTCCCTAAATGAAAATATCTAGCTTTAGCAAATGAATATCTAGTTTTACTTCAATAGCTACGGTGAAATTGTGAATTCACAACCATTTTCAAGGTCACTTTAGTAATATATATGAAATTTTCAAGTATGCAGAGCCCTTAGTCCAGCAACCTTACTTTTGAATATTTATTTACTTATTTGATAGGCAGAGTTACAGATAGAGGGAGAGACAGAAAGAGAGATCTTCCATCTACAGTTCTCTCCCCAAAAGGCCACAACAGCTGGAGCTCGGCTGAGTCAAAGCCAGGAGCCAGGAACTCCCTCTAGGTCTTCCACGTGGGTGCAGGGGCTCCTGAGCCATCCTCCACTGCTTTCCCAGGCCATTAGCAGGCAGCTAGATTGGAAATGGAACATCCAGGTCTCAAACCAGTGCCTGCTTGGGATGCCGGTGCTGCAGGTAAAGGCTTACCCTACTATGCCAGGACCCACAATCTTACTTTTGGAAAACACCTGACTAGTACCTTGATGCATAATTCAATTTATTCAACAAATATTTGAATTGTACATCTGTTCTAATATTACAAATAATAAAAACAATAATACCTGGGGTTAGCATCCTAATCTAACAATTTGAAATCCCAAATTCTCCAAAATCTGAAACTTTTTGAGCATCACATAATGCCACAGGTGGAAAATTCCACAAATGACCTCATGTGACAGGTCTCATTCAAAACACAGGTGCACTATAAATATTGTATAAAATTATCATCAGGCTGTGCATATAAAATGTATATGAAGCATAGATAAATTTCATGTTTAGACATGGGTCCCATCCCCAAAATATCTCATCATGCGCAGATATTCCAAAGTCTAAAAAAATCTGAAATCTGAAACACTTCTGGTCCCAACCATTTTGAGAAAAAGAAACTCAACCTGTATGAGAATGTTGAAAGAATACTGAATCAGGCAAAAATAAATAAAGTTACTTTATAAAATTGTAATTACATATAAATACAACAAAATGGTAAGCAGTTATCAAAAATGATGGCACAGAGCCAGTGTGCCCCCCCCACAACTTCCCTCCCACCCGCAACCCTCCCCTTTACCTACTGCTCCCTCTCCCCTTCCATTCACATCAAGATTCATTTTCAATTCTCTTTATATACAGAAGATCAGTTTAGCATATATTAAGTAAAGGTTTCAACAGTTTGCACCCACATAGAAACACAAAGTGAAAAATACTGTTTCAGTACTAGTTATAGCATTAAATCACAATGTACAGCACATTAAGGACAGAGATCCTACATGAGGAGTAAGTGCACAGTGACTCCTGTTGCTGACTTAACAAATTGACACTCTTGTTTATGGCATCAGTAATCTCCCTATGCTCTTATCATGAGTTGCCAAGGCTATGGAAGCCTCTTGAGTTCACCGACTTCGATCTTACTCCGACAGGGTCTTAGTCAAAGTGGAAGTTCTCTCCTCCCTGCAGAGAAAGGTACCTCCTTCTTTGATGACCTGTTCTTTCCACTGGGATCTCACTCACAGAGATCTTTCATTTAGGTTTTGTGTGTGTTTGTTTTTTTTGTTTGTTTGTTTGTTTGTTTTGTTTTGTTTTTTGCCAGAGTGTCTTGGCTTTCCACGCCTGAAATACTCTCATGGGCTTTTCAGCCATATCCGAATGCCTTAAGGGCTGATTCTGAGGCCAGAGTGCTGTTTAGGACATCCGCCATTCTATGGGTCTGCTGTGTATCTCGCTTCCCATGTTGGATCGTTCTCTCCATTTTTGATTCTATCAGTTAGTATTCGCAGACACTAGTCTTGCTTATGTGATCCCTTTGACTCTTAGTCCTATCATTATGATCAATTGTGAACTGAAATTGATCACTTGGACTAGTGAGATGGCATTGGTACATGCCACCTTGATGGGATTGAATTCGAATCTCCTGGTATGTTTCTAACTCTACCGTTTGGGGCAAGTCAGCTTGAGCATGTCCCAAATTGTATATCTCTTCCCTCTCTTATATGAAAAGAATGTTCTAACTAGGTGTGGAAGACATGGACCTGCAAAAAGCCTGGTCTTAAAGGTTTGGTCCTCAAAATTTTATGCTAATGATACAACGGAACAGGAACTTAATTCAGTTATGGTGTTTGGAGGTAAGGCCTTTGTGAGGTAACTGGATTGGGTCATTAGGGTTGAGCCCCTAAGATTAAATCCTAGTGGGTTTATAATAGTCCTTACAAACACAGACATGCATGTTTCCTCCTGCTATGTGAGCCACCACAGAATTCTTTCAGCAAGACAGCTGTCACTAAACCGCCTTTATAAAGTTAGTTGACTCAACTATTTTGTTGTAACAAAATAAAAAGCTAATACAATACTTTCTGAGTTCTTAAAATATAAAATTTTTGATAACCAAAAATTAATACAATTACTTTTCGAGAAAATGTACAAATTTTCCTCAATATATGTGATGCCAGGCAATTTCTTAGCAATCAAAACGGCCTTTTGAAAGGAAAGAGTTTTAGCACAAATAAAATATCAAACACATGAAAAATTCACTCAAAATGGAATGAATAATTTACCTACTATGTGGCCAAATCAATGTTAAAAAAAAATAGCATAATTATCCTAGGTTCTCTGCAGTGTTTTAAAGTAAAGAAATTAAGCCAAATGATGTCAGAATTATGCAATTTCATGTTGGGTAACAAAGTGAAAGGACACAGGGTCAGCAAAGATTCCTGTGTGTTATATCTTCTTTCACTCTCTGTTCTTTAATAGCTCCAGATATTTTGATAACATCAGCATTCCGAGACATTGGTCCTTAGAATATACAAGACATACCTAAGGTAGAGATGGAGGTTATGCTTACTGCCCTCTCTCTTTAAAGTAAACAAACAGAACTTAGACTTTTGATTTTAAGATAGTAGAGTAAGGATTTTATTTGCATTTCCTACTCTCTATTCTCAAGAACTCATAACTCTTTACCAAATATCTGCCAAGCCTAAATTGTGGTTAGTTTCTTCTACAACAGAACTAGTCAAATAAGAACTTTATGGTATCTACTTTTTGTTTTTTTGTTTTGTTTTGTTTTGTTTTTTTGGACAGGCAGAATTAGAGAGAGAGAGAGAGAAAGGTCTTCCTTTTTCCATTGGTTCACCCCCCAAATGGCTGCCATGGCCGGCGCACTGCACCGATCCGAAGCCAGGAGCCAGGTGCTTCCTTCTGGTCTCCCATGCGGGTGCAGGGCCCAAGCACCTGGGCCATCCTCCACCGCCTTCCCGGGCCACAGCAGAGAGCTGGACTGGAAGAGGAGCAACTGGGACAGAATTCGGCACCCCAACCAGGACTAGAACCCAGAGTACCAGCGCCGCAGGCAGAGGATTAGTCAAGTGAGCCACGGCACTGGCCAGTATCCACTTTTTTTTTTTTTTTTTTTTTTTTTTTTGACAGGCAGAGTGGACAGTGAGAGAGAGAGACAGAGAGAAAGGTCTTCCTTTGCCGTTGGTTCACCCTCCAATGGCCGTCGTAGCCAGCGGGCTGCGGCTGACACACCGTGCTGATCCAATAACAGGAACCAGGTACTTATCCTGGTCTCCCATGGGGTGCAGGGCCCAAGTACTTGGGCCATCCTCCACTGCACTCCCGGGCCACAGCAGAGAGCTGGCCTGGAAGAGGGGCAACCGGGACAGAATCCAGCGCCCCGACCGGGACTAGAACCCGGTGTGCCAGCACCGCAGGCAGAGGATTAGCCTAGTGAGCCGCGGCGCCAGCCAGTATCTACTTTTAATACCACGTAACCTCCCCTCTTGGAGGTCTCCTAAACTATTAGCGCTGTTTGTAAGCTTAGGGAAAAAGAAAAACACCAATCACCAATTCTTTTCCCAAATTATAAGCAACTAGCCTATAACAGATCAGAATGTGTGAGAGTTTTAATTTTATTAAAAGTTGGAATTTTGGGGCCAGAGCTGTGGTGCAGCAGGTTAAAGCTCTGGCCTGAAGTGCTAGCATCCCATATGGGCACCAGTTCTAGTCCTGGCTGCTCCTCTTCCACTCCTGCTCTCTTCTATGGCCTGGGATAGCAGTAAAAGATGGCCCAAGTCCTTGGGCCCCTCCTGCACCCATGTGGGAGACCCAGAAGAAGCTCCTGGCTCCTGGCTTCGGATCGGCACAGCTTCAGCCGTTGCGGCCATCTGGGGAGTGAACCAGTGGATGAAGACCTCTTTCTCCATCTCTACCCCTCTCTGTAACGCTTTCAAATAAATAAAATAAATTAAAAAAAAAAAATAAGCTGGAATTTTGGGGCCCAGCACTGTGGCGTAGTAGAAGTTTAAAATATCTGCCTGCAGTGACAGCATCATGTGGGCGCCAGTTTGAGTCCCAGCTGCTCCACTTCTGATCCAGCTCCCTACTCATGGCCTAGGAAGGCAGTGGAAGATGGTCCAAGTGCTTCGGCAACTGCACCCACATGGGAGACCCAGAGGGAGTTTCTAGATCCTAGCTTCGGCTCAGCACAGCTCCAGCCATTGCAGCCATTTGAAGCATGAACCAGTGGATGAAGGACCTCTCTGTCTCTCCCTCCCTCTCCTTAACTCTGCCTCTCAAATAAATAAATAAATATTTGTTTAAAAAAAAAGTTGAAATTTTTAGCTACACATGGGACCAATCTAAGAACCAAACCAAAACTATATAAAGTATCTAACGGCCTGGGGCCAGCACTGTGGTGCAGCAGGTTAAAGTCCTGGCCTGAAGCGCCGGCATCCCATATGGGCACCAGTTCGTGTCCCGGCTGCTCCTCTTCCAGTCCAGCTCTCTGCTATGGCCTGGGAAAGCAATAGAAGACGGCCCAATGGGAGACTGGGAGGAAGCTCCTGGCTCCTGGCTCCTGGCTTCAGATTGGCACAGCTCCAGACGTTGCGGTCATCTGGAGAATGAACCAGCGGATGGAAGACCTCTCTCTCTGTCTCTACCTCTCTCTGTAACTCTATCTTTCAAATAAATAAAATAAATCTTTTTTTTTTCTTTTTTTTTTGACAGAGTGGACAATGAGAGAGAGACAGAGAGAAAGGTCTTCCTTCCATTGGTTCAGTCCCCAAATGGCCGCCACGGCTGGAGCTACGCCGATCCAAAGCCAGGAGCCAGGTGCTTCTTCCTGGCCTCCCACGTGGGTGCAGGCACCCAGTCACCTGGGTCATTCTCCACTGCCTTCCTGGGCCACAGCAGAGAGCTGGACTGGAAGAGGAGCAACCAGGACTAGAACCCGGCCCCCATATGGGATGCTGCACCGCAGGCAGAGGATTAACCAAGTGAGCCACGGCACCAGCCTCAATGTACACATTTTTAACAGCATTTTTAACTCTTGAAACCAACTTATAGAATTCAAGCTCAATAAATAACATCACCATAAAATATAAAACTGTTATTTCCTTACCTGTAATGCTAATAATTTTAAAATGTCTGATACATCATTATCTTCTAGATTTTCCTGGGAGAATATTTCATAAAGAGGAGTTTCATCTGGGTATTTTTCACTGTATGTAAACTTGAGGGTAGTCTGGACAGCTGAAAGACGAGAATAAAAGTTTGAGGTGAATATCTTAAAAATACAGAAGCTGTTGAAGCAGTAATTAATTTACAACGTGTCCATGAATAGTGGCAAAACTAAGGTTACTAAGAGATCGGCTAGATAATCACTAATATAAACAATATATATCACAAAGGGATACCCGTTATCTTCCAGGATATGTCCTAGCAGGCACTAGAATTGGGAAAAGAGCCAGGATTCAAACCCAGAGACTCCGACACGGGATGTGAGCATCTCAAGCAGCATCTTAACCACTGCACCAAACACCCAACCCTAGTAAGTTTTAACAGAAAATGTGTAGCATGACCATTCAGTCACAAACTGACTGGTAGAACTGAGAACTCAGTGGGCTGGACTGCAGAGAGATACCCCGCATTAATGTGCCCATGAGAATTTCTCTCCTAAGCAGTGTCAAATCTGTAAACCGGCATAGGCCAAAAGAATAAGTAAGAAAGTATAGATCAATCAGGTTAAAGGTTTACAAGATAACCATAAAACTGTCCAGTTCAAAATCATGTCATCTAACCAATAGCCAGCAATGCCCTATTGGCACTGTGCAGATATTAATACAGTTTCCATGGCTACAGTTAGATTTTTTTTTTTCCTGCCACCAGGAACTGGCTCTGGTAGAAGCTTGAAAAGGAGACTACAGTAGCATTTTTTAAATGTGTTATATTCAGGTCCTTTTGTTTATCGTGGGGAGAGATTTTAAAGAGAGTGGCTGCCGGGGCTGGGGCTGTGGCACAGCGGGGTTAAAGTCCCAGCCTGAAGCATTGGTGTCCCATACGGGCACCGGTTCAAGTCCTGGCCGCTCCACTTCCAATCTAGCTCCCTGCTGGTGCACCTGGGAGAGCAGTGCCCCTGCACCCATGTGGGAGACCTGGAAGAAGCTCCTGGCTCCTGGCTTTGGATCAGCCCAGCTCTGGCCACTGCAGCCATTTCGGGAGTGAAGCAGTGAATGGAACACCTCTCTCTCTCTGTCTCTACCTCTCTCTCTGTCTTTCAAATAAATAAAATAAATCTTTTTAAAAAAAGATATTCAAAAAAAGTCACATAATCTGGGGTCATCTTTGAAAATAAATAAATAGAGTGGCTTTTATACATCCTGTAATTCTCAGTCATGCAGTGTGATAAAATACCACTAAGTGATAAATGTATTTCATGTGTAAGAAGTGCTTTTTTAATATTCCCACAGCAGTTCATTTAACTGCTGTGCCAAACCCTAGTCCCTATATTTTGTTTTTATCTTCATGCATGATATCTACAAAGGATTTTATGAGTTAATCAATGTAAAAGATTGAGTGTTAGGGTCAGTAAAAAACTCTATGCCTTCTGGCATTTTTCTTTCTTCCGTTATTATTCTAATTTTATTGCTAGAATAATAAGTTTTTCTTTTTAATTATTTTTCCCAGTTTTCTTGAGGTATACTTGACAAGTAAAAATCATATATATTTAAGTAAACAACATGATGTTTTTATATACATTTGTGAAATTACCACAATCAAGCTAATTAACTATCACGTCACATAGTTACAATTCTGTGTGTGAAGTAAAAACTCACCTCTCTTAGCAAATTTCCAGTATAAAATATTATTAACTATAGTCAGCACACTATACATAAAGTCTCCAAAATTACTCATGCCACTTAACTGAACATAGGGACTCTTTGGCCAGTATTTCTCCATTTCTCAGGCCCCAGTTGCTAGTCCCTAAACAATCAATGTCAAAGAAAAAATTGAGAAAAATCAAAAAATATCTTGAGACAAATGAAAATGGCAATATACCATATCAAAACCTGTGGGTTGGGGCTGGAATTGTGGTGCAGCGGGTTAAACTGCCACCTGTGATGATGCCAGCATCCCATGTGAGCAGCAATTCGAGTCCCAGCTGCTCCACTTCTGACCCAACTCCCTGCTAATGTGCCTGGGAAAGCAGGGAAAGATGGCCCACGAATTTGGATTCCTGCCACCCATGTGGAAACCCAGATGGAGTTCCAGGCTCCCAGCCCAATCCAAGCCGTTGTGGCCATCTGGGGAGTGAAACAGCAGATGGAAGGTCTCTTTCTCTGTCTCTGTTCCTCTCTCTCTGTAACTCTGCCTTTCAAATAAATAAATCTTGTGGGTTGCAGCAAAAGCAATTCTAAGAGGAAGGTTATAAAAATAAATACCCACTTTAAAAAAAAAAAGAAAAAATAAATAAACCACCTAACTATATCTCAAGGAACTAAAGCATATCTTAAGGAACTAAAAAAGGTGGAGAACAGAGTTGCACAGTGGGTTTAGCCACCACATGTGATTATACCACCCCATACGGAGAGCCAGTTGGGACCCCCAGCTGCTCCACTTCCAATCCAGCTTCACACTAATACATGTGGAAAAGCAGCAGATGATGGCCCAAGAACCTGACCCTGTCACCCAGGAGGAAGAATCAGGTGGAGCACCTGGCTCATGGTTTCAGCCTGGGCACCCCTGAATGCTGCAGCCATTTGTGTTGTAAACCAGCAGATAGAAGCCTTCTGTACCTGTCTTGCCTTCTCTCTCTCTCTCTCTCTCTCTGTCACTCTGCCTTTCAAATAAATAAATAAAAATTTTAAAAGAAATTTAAGAACTTAGCATAAAATCAAAGGAAAGAAATTATAATGATCAGAGCAGAAATAAATGGAATAGACTAGAAAAACAGATAAAATTGATGACACTTAACTATAGACTAAAAAAAAAAACCGAGAAGACTAAAATATTTGTAAATAAAAATTATAAATGAAAGAGATCTTAAAATTGACACCAATGGCCGGCGCCATGGCTCACTAGGCTAATCCTCCACCTGCAGCGCCAGTACTCCAGGTTCTAGTCCCAGTTGGGGCACCGGATTCTGTCCCGGTTGCTCCTCTTCCAGTCCAGCTCTCTGCTGTGACCCGGGAAGGCAGTGGAGGATGGCCCAGGTGCTTGGGCCCTGCACTCGTATGGGAGACCAGGAGAAGCACCTGGCTCCTGGCTTCGGATCAGCACAGCGCGCTGGCCGTAGCAGCCATTTGGGGTTGGTGAACCAACGGAAGAAAGACCTTTCTCTCTGTCTCTCCCTCTCACTGTCTAACTCTGCCTGTCAAAAATAAAAAAAAAAATTTAAAAAAACTGACACCACGGGGAAGAAGTTGGTTATATGATGCAAAGTTTCAAACAGGACGAATAAACTCTGGAAATCCATTATATAGCATAGTGACTATAGTTAATTTTAATATGTATATACATAAAAAAACTGCCAGAAGAGTAGATATTAAATGTTCCTACCACAAAAAAACAAAGTAAAGTTCAGCACCATTACTGGCATATTAGTTTTTTCTGCTAATGTGTCAATGGAATTTTTTTAATTAATTTATTTATTTTGAAAGAGAAAGAGAGAGAGAGCAGAATCTTCAATCTGCTGGTTCACTCCCCTGATGGCTGCAATGACTATCACACTAGGCCAGGCCAAAGCCAGGAGCCATGTGCTTCATCCAGGTCTCCCATGTAGGTTGCAGAGGTCCAAACACCCAGGCCATGAGCAGAGAGCTGCATCAGAAGTGGAGCAGCCATATGAGATAGCACCCATATGGCATGCTCGCATGACAGGCTGCAGCCTCACCCATTACACCATAATGTGGGCCTCGTCAACTGAATTTGTTTCATGCGCACTATATCCTGAGAACATTCTTTAACATATAGTTTAAATAGCTCCGAGTTGAATTTCACCATACAAGTATATTAAAATGCATTTAACTGGAGCTGGCATCGTGGCACAGCAGTTAAGCCTCAGTCTGTGAAGTCAGCATCCTACGTGGGCACTGGTTCAGGTTTTAGTTGCTCTACTTCCAATCCAGGTCTCTGGTGATATGCCTGGGAGGGCAGCGAAGGATGGCCCAATTACATAGTCCCTGCTCTGATGTGGGAGACCTGAATGGGGCTCCTGGCTCCTAGCTTCAGCCTGGCTCAGCTCTAGCTGTTATAGTCATTTGGGAAGTAAACCAGCAGATAGACAATTTCTCTCTCTCTCTCTCTTTCTCTTTCTCACTCTCTCTGTCTCTGATTCTCCCTTTAACTCTGCCTTTCAAATAAATAAATCTTTAAAAAATACATTTTGGGGCCAGCGCTGTAGCGTAGCAGGTAAAGCCGCCACCTGCAGTGCTGGCATCCCATATGGGCGCTGGTTCGTGTCCTGGCTGCTCCACTTCCGATCCAGCTCTCTGCTATGGCCTGGGAAAGCAATGGAAAATGGCTTAAGCCCTTGGGCCCCTGCACCCACGTGGGAGGCCCGGAAGAAGCTCCTGGCTCCTGGCTTTGGATTGGCGCAGCTCCAACCATTGCAGTCAATTGGGGAGTGAACCAGCAGATGCAGGACCTCTCTCTCTGCCTCTCCTTCTCTCTCTGTGTAACTCTTTCAAGTAAAATAAATAAATCTTTAAAATAAATAAATAATAAAAAATATGTTTCATCATTTTAAAAAGCAAGGTTATCTTAAAAAAACTTACTGGTTTTACCATAAGCACTATACATTCATTGTAGAAAATTCAGAAATATAATAAAGGAAAAAATAAAATCTCAAACAATCCCATCAATAGGAAGAAATCTGTTACCATTATAGTACACTTTACTTAACATATCTTAAAAGCATTTCTGAAAACATATTTCAAAGTATCTTTCTTTCTACATTTTAATCCAGATTATATAAACATTATACAATTATTTGAAAGGCAGAGAACACACAGACAGAAGAGAAACAGAGATGAAGACAGAGTTCTTCCATCAGATGATTCACTCCTCAAACAGCTGCAATAGTCAGGGCTGGGCCAGTCTGAAGCCATGAGCCAGAAGCTCCATTAGGCTCTCCCAAGATGGGGGCAAGAACTCAAGTACTTAGTCATCATTCACTGCTTCTCGAGCACAGTAGCAGGGCGCTGGATGGGAAAGCAGAGTTCCAGTGACCCTAACCAGCATTGGAACCAGTGTTCCAATATGGGATGCAGGTATCCTAAGTGGCAGCTTAACCTATGCCACAGTACCTGCCCCATATATGTTAAATTATTTATTTGAAGGAGTTACAGAAACAGGAAGAAACAGAGAGCCTCCATCGGCCAGTTCACTCCTAAAATGGCCACAACAGCCAAGGAGGAGCCAGCTCAAAGCCAAAGGCCTGGAGCTTCTTCCAGGTCTCCCACATGGGTGCAGGGGCCCAAGAACCTGGGCATCCTCTGCTGTTCTCTCAGGCATATTTGCAGGAAGCTAGATTGGAAGTGAAGTAGCCAGGATTCGAACTGGTGCTTGTACGGGATACTGGCAAAGTAGACAACGGCTTTACCTGCCACACCAGCCCCAAGACTCATTTTTAATAATCATTTATAATGCCTCCTTTAAAAATTATAAACTAATTACCTTTGTCTGCTTTCCTACTAGTTGGTTCATTAAAATGAAGTTTTCAAATAAAAAACAGTACAGTCTAGAAATCTCTCAAAGAAATAATTTTAAAAATACTTTCAGGGGCCGGTTTTGTGACGTAGCGGGTAATGCCACCGCCTGCAGTGCCAGCATCCCATATGGGCGCCGGTTGAAGTCCTAGCTGCTCCACTTCTAATCTAGTTCTCTGCTATGGCCTGGGAAAACAGCGGAGGATGGCCCAAGTCCTCGGGTCCCTGCACCTGTGTGGGAGACCGGGAGGAAACTTCTGGCTCCTGGCTTCAGATCAGCGCAGCTCCGGACATTGTGGCCAATTGGGGAGTGAACCAGCAGATGGAAGACTTCTCTCTCTCTCTCTGCCTCTCCTCTCTCTGTGTAATCTGACTTTCAAATAAATAAATAAATCTTTAAAAAAAAAAATATTTTCAAATGGGGCTGATGGCCTATATAGCACTACTTTACAGATATATTATGCCATTACACCAATGGACCTGCTATTCAGAATTTGGAATCCCTTTCTAGAAATTCCTTATTTTTCATTTCAGTAAATCTAAAGAAAATTACATTCAGGATTATTTTATCAATGAATACTGCTACAGGATTACAACACCCTTAATGGCATTATATGAAGCCAGAATGATGTCACAGGCTTCTTTACAACGGGAGTTTTAAATAGTGTGAAGAGCAGTCAGTAAAAGATTTATTTTGTGTTTTAATCCCATAGAGAAAAGTTTAGATATCTGCAACAGCATACTGGTTATCAACTCAGTAATAAATAACTCAGTGTCTAATATCTTTAGGTGAGATTTCAGTAATATAAACACCAACTTCATTTTCAACTCATTTCTATACAAGACAGATTCAGAGTTATTAAGTAAAAACATTATAATTAGCTATTACTGACTATTCCTGACAGAATTTTGGTTCACTAGCCTAATAGGGAAAAAAAAAATCTTTTAAGTTGACAACTTATAAACAATATTAACTAAGTGAATGGAAGATGGAAATTGGCTTCAGACACCATCACTCCCAAACATCTGTCAAATTTAATTTATTTAATTTATTTAATTTCAATGTATTGACTTCATAGCTGCTTTATTTCAATTTTATATTTAATGGTTCTACAGCTGGAGAACAGTTTTATCTGGTTTTATATATACATATATTGAAATAACAACAGAATGTTCACTTTAAAGAAACAGAGAAAAGCATATATACAGCCTCATTTATTACAGCAAATATTGAGTAAACAACCGAAATATCCAAAGACAAAAACAGCCATGGAATACTTTATACAACTATTGAAATGAGTTTGCATGCAAGTCATGTTTTGGATAAAAATCTACTTTTTTTTCTCCTGCTGCCCTGGTTATTGTTTCTGCTTCACTTTTCAAAAGTTAGTTTATTGTGACATACGCTATCTCACTGATTCCACTCCATTTCTCTAGGAATCACATTTATGCAATAAATACTGACTAGAAGCACACATCACTTATAGTAGAGCCCTAAGACCATCTTAGCACTTCCATACAAGCAGTTAGGACTAACAATGGCTGCACAATGAATAAAATTCCTGAGAGAGAAACTGAGAAAAACCACAAGTATTTTTTATAACACTTACTTTCATCATTCTCTCCTGCCTCAGATGTCACAGTAATGGTGAAGCTGGGTGGCTTTTCTGATAATACTGCAAGAAAATACACAGAGGAGTTAAATTGTTAGCATGCTTCCTAAGGCAGATGCTTTTCCTTATCAGCAAATTATCACTACTCAGTCCTTGACACTGGTCCCTACTCTGTATTTTCATTTTCACAACTGAGGGCCAGTTGTGAAACACATGGCCAGTGTAACAAAGCTTCCTCAATATAATTGGCCTTCTATATTTTTTAACAAATGTGTGTAAAATATATTTGATGTGTTTCATTCTTCTTCTCCTTTAAAGCAGTCAGTTACAGAAAGAAAGGGAGAGACAGAGAGATCTTCTATCCACAATGTTATGGCATAAAGGGTTAACATCAGCACCCCATATGGGTGCCAGTTCTGATCTGACTGCTCCACTTCTGATCCAGCTCCCTGGTAAAGTCCTTGGGCCCCAGCACCCTCATAGGAGACCCCAATGAAGTTTCTGGCTCCTAACTTGAGACTGGCCTAGCCCTGGCTACTGTGGCCATTTGGGGAGTGAACCAGCAGATGGAAGATCTCTATCTCTCCTTCTCTCTAACTCTGCCTTTCAAATTAGTAAAATATTTTTTAAAAATACATGTTTGCTCTGATCTGTGGTAACTAATAGAGTACTTAAAATGTAATCTATAGGAGGAAAATTGACACTTTGAGATAGGAAGATTTTAAACAGCCCTTGCCTTAACTGTTCTGTTTTTTCTTCATACTAATTGGTGAACTCGCTACTTAGTGTAGGGTTAATCTTATGAGTACAAAAATTAACTGAAAATTGATCTCTGTAAAATATCAGAATGGGAAAGTATGAGGGAAGAGGAAGAAAGGTGGGAGTATGGGTGGGAGGAAGGTGGGGGGGAAGAAGCATCATGTTGCCAAATCTGTATATATTAAATGCATGAATTGTATTCCTTAAACAAAATAAATTTAAAAAAAAGGACCAGTAATAAAAAAATACAGATTGAACAGAACATTGCAAAGATAAAGCATCCAACAACTTTCTATTTAAATTGAGAACTATCTTTACTCCAGAAGGAAATACCAATTGTAGATGACCCTCTTGGCATTTTGTCAAATGAATTTAAGTGGGGAGTTTACTGTTTATTTCAAAACCTCCATCTATACAAGGAAAATTACATTCTCAAAACATCCCAAATGGAATGGCAGGCAGTTTGACACTCCCCATCAGAAACTGATTGATATTCATGTTATCACTTTTTGTACTTATGTGAATGATCTTCAGAAAATTAACAGAAATTATGTATTATGAAAAATTATGCATGGATTTCTAAATTCTTTGCTTCAAAATTAATTTACCTTTTAATTCCATTTTCCACAATGGAATTTTTTAAGTATCCTCATTTAATCTGTGGTGTAACTCAGAATCTCCATTACTGTTTATTAAACAGTAAATATGGATTTATTACACTTCTGTGCTTCTTGTGGGCTCACTTGCTCTCTCTCTCTCCCTCACTCTCACTCTCGTTCTTTCTCTCCCCCTTTCTCTTACAGTGTTTCTGGGGCCAAACTTCATTTTTCATAAATATTTACTAAGCTGCTACCATCTTTCACAGAACTATAAAATGAAATAGCTAAATAGCTATGAATCTAAATATCATATTGCATGCAATTAAGCAAGACATGTGAATCAGCACTCACATAAATGAAGACGCTTTATATACCATTTACACCCTGATATCTAATACTTTAACCTCTATTCTGCCTCAATAACACTATAAAATCTCTATGTGACCTCCCAGATCACTACCTGGTGGTATCTAGAAATTCAATAAAAACAGCTCAAAGAAAGGACTAAGCTAATAACATGAAAGGAGAAAAATAACAAAGAAACCTGCTTCCAGAACCATCTGAATTATAAAAAAAAAAAAAAAAAAGGAAAAACAAAAACTTCAAGATAGAAGGATGGCTGCTAAGCCTATGAGAAAAGCCTTTGTCTTATTCCACGCTGGTAAGCACTGGCAACTGGCAGGACTTGCAGTAGCTCTGAAGACCCTTTCTGAAATGAAAGGGATTACTGAAGAAGTCACCATGGAAACTATTTGGCCCTTGCTACCTGGAACTTTCTGAAGCTGCCATAGAAATATATATTATCAATAAGACATTCAATACAAGTACCTTCATTTTAATGGAAGTTTAAGGTGTTTGAAGCAATAATGATCACCTCTGATTACTAGAAAGATGCTTGCCAGAAAGATAAAAGAATCGTTAGACTCATATTCTAATAGGTCTTAGGCAGACCTATGCCACATGGCCAGTGTAACAAAGCTTCCTCAATATGATTGGCCTTCTATATTTTTTAACAAATGTGTGTAAAATATATTTGATGTGTTTCATACTTCTTCTCCTTTAAAGCAGTCAGTTAAAGAAAGAGAAGGAGAGACAGAGAGATCTTCTATCCACTAGTTCACTCTCTAGATGGTTGCAATGACCAGCACTGGGCCAGGCCAAAGCCTGCAGGTCTCTTCTCTTTCTGTACCTCTACCTTTCAAATAAATAAATAAATCTTAAAAAATAACATAAAATAAAACAAGCTAACACAGCTAAAGAGAACTTTAATTCAGTTGAGGATGATCTACAGAAAGGTGAGAGTTAAAACCATTCAACTAAATTAGATCATGAAAGAGAAAATGTACCACAAAGAAATAAAAGCCAGTAAGGATTTTGTAAAGAACCCTCAATTTGAAGAACAAAGAGGAAGAACTTGTCAGAGATTAAAAGCAGCAGCCAGGAGAGGTAATAACAAACTCAAGAGACAACAGTGTTATGAAAATTGAGGGGCAAGTTCCAAGAGGGAGAGGATGATTCACCCCATCCCACCCCATTTCTACCCACTGTTTCTTGTCTCAGGCTTCTAGGAAGCAGACTTTATCACATAATCAGCCTCCAGAGGCAGCTTTCTACCTGTACACAGTGTGTTAGCACCAGATGCAATAAAGTGGTGGAGCCATAGGCACACACTTTAATATTTGCATAACCTAAAGCCCATTTTATTTGCAAAAATACCCCAACTATCATGATCTGGATCTAACAGGGCATGATCTGCAGTGTGCACTGAACACATTATGGCTCTATATAGAGGGAAAACTTGGCAATGAACTATTGCCCTGTAAGATTCCATCTAAATCCCTAACAAGGACCCCTGTGATCTGGCCCCTGCTAATTTGTCAGGTCTCATTTACCACGACTATAATTTCTCAACCTATGTCTAGCAATACCAAGCCATCTGTCCTTTAAATACAATTCCTCAGAGACCTGCTTCTGCACAGGCTGTGCGGCCTACTTGAATACCCTTTCCCCAGTCTCACTCACTTGTTAACTCCTCATCACCTCTCAGTTCTCCAAAACAATTCAGAATGTCCCTTCTCCCTATCAGATATCTATTTTCCTAATAGACTGAACTCTAAAAATGTATACAAATTTTTGGGAAAATGAGGAAACACAGGAAACACAAAAAACATGAGGATATTACCAACAGTATCAAAGAACTGCCTGACTGGGAGCCATTTAGAATAGGGAGGCAGATGGACCAAAAAGCTCATGAACTATCAATCCCTGAGAAAGCACAATGAGAAGCATGTAAAAGCATGTAAAGAAAAGAGCAGCAGAGGGGGGCCTGCGCTGCAACGCAGTGGGTTAAAGCCCTGGCCTGAAGCACCAGCAATCCCATAAGGATGCCGGTTCTAGTCCTGGCTGCTCCTCTTCTGATCCAGCTCTCTGCTATGACCTGGGAAAGCAGTAGAAGATGGCCCAAGTCCTTGGGCCCCCGCACCCACGTGGGAGACCCGGAAGAAGCTCCTGGCTCCTGGCTTTGGATCAGCGCAGCTCTGGCCGTTGCAGCCATCTGGGGAGTGAACCAGGGGATGGAAGACCTCTCTCTCTGTCTCTACCTCTCTGTAACTCTGTCTTTCAAATAAATAAAGTAATAAAAGAAAAAGAACAGCAGAGCCACAAAGGTCATAGACAGGAGGAACTTCGGAGGTCAAGATTTTAGATAGGTCTGGTATTGTAGCACACTGGGTTAAGCCACCACATACAATGCCACCCAACTGCTCTGCTTCCAATCCAGGTTCCTTGAATATACCTGGAAAAGCAGTGGAAAACAGCGCACATACTTGGGCCCCTGTCACCTACATGGAGGGCCTGGATGGAATTCCAGGATATCGGCTTTGGCCTGGCCCATTCTTAATCCTTGAGGTCATTTGAGAGTGAACTAGTAGATGGAAGACTGATCTCTCATTCTCCACCTCCCCTGCCACACATCTCTCCCTTTCTGTCATTCTGCCTTTCAAATAAATTAGTAAATATTAAATATTTAAATAACAAAGTAAACTTTTAGATGGTATTTCTATAGTGTGGCTATGCCCATAAGCAACTGAATAAACTGGAAATCAAAACTAATAGTTGGCAAAGACAAGGAATTATGAAGCCACATTAGAAGAATGAACAACTAAGATGGTAGATTTCTAGAACACCCTATATTTGTGTAATAGTTACAAATTATGTACAGTTATTTTATTTCTCATTAAATAGGTATGGAAACTGGGGCTTAGAAAGATCATGAAATTTGTTCAAGGATACTACACTATCCTGCCCACAGAGAAAAAACTGTGAACAAGGAAAAAGGAGCTGGGAAAACTGTTAATAGTGCCCCCAAACCCACCCTTCCCTTCACTGAGAATAAAAACCATTACCAACTCCCATTCCAGTTAGCCCTAAACAAAGGACTAAGCTCCAGCTCACAAGATGAAAGCAGATACATCTTTTGGCAGTTTCCAACAAAGTTCGTTAAGAAACTGCTTTCACGAGAGGGAGGAGATGTACAATTTGGGACATGCTCAATCGGACTTGCCCCAAATGGTGGAGTTAGAATCATGCCAGGGGATTCCAATACAATCCCATCAAGGTGGCATGTACCAATGCCATCTCACTAGTCCAAGTGATCAATTTCAGTTCACAATTGATCACACTGATAGGTCTAAGAATCAAAGGGATCACACAAACAAGACTAGTGTCTGCGAATACTAACTGATAGAATAAAAAACGGAGAGAACGATGCAACATGGGAAGCGAGATACACAGCAGACTCATAGAATGGCAGATGTCCTAAACAGCACTCTGGCCTCAGAATCAGCTCTTAAGGCATTCGGATATGGCTGAAGAGTCCATGAGAGTATTTTAGGCATGGAAAGTCAAGACACTCTGGCAAAAAAAAAAAACAAACAAACAAAAAAAAACACACAACAACAACAACAACCAGAGGACCTAAATGAAAGATCTCTGCAAGTGAGATCCCAGTTGAAAGAACAGGGCCATCAAAGGAGGTACCTTTCTCTGCAGGGAGGAGAGAACTTCCACTTTGACTATGACCTTGTCTGAGTAAGATCGAAGTCGGCAAACTCAAAAGGCTCCCATAGCCTTGGAAACTCATGACTAGAGCCTAGGGAGATTACTAACGCCATAAACAAGAATGTCAAATTGTTAAGTCAACAACAGGAGTCACTGTGTACTTACTCCTCATGTGGGAGATCTGTCCTTAAAGTGTTGTCCAATGTGAATTAATGCTATAACTAGTACTCAAACAGTATTTTACACAGAACATAATATTTTACACTTTATGTTCTGTGTGGGTGCAAACTGATGAAATCTTTACTTAGTATATACTAAATTTATCTTCTGTATATAAAGATAATTGAAAATGAATCTTGATGTGAATGGAATGGGAGAGGGAGCGGGAGATGGGAGGGGTGCGGGTGGGAGGGAAGTTATGGGGGAGGAGAAGCCATTGTAATCCATAAACTGTACTTTGGAAATTTATATTTACTAAATAAAAGTTAAAAAAAAAGAAACTGCTTTCACTTTTTTCTTCATTCCTTTATATATCACCCTGCCTGGAAATGGGATGCTGCTCTCATCTTGACCATGGATGAGAGACCACATCTTAGGGATGGCAGAGAGCTCACTCAGAAGATGCCTGGTCCCTGAGGAACTTTTAGACTGACGCTGTCAGAACTCTTTTTTATGTGCAAGGGCAATAAACTTTTACTTTTCTAAAATATCAATGTTATTTTTTTCTGTCATAGCTGAGAAAAGTACAAAATTGAGTGATAACTAAAATGAGGATTAGAAAGTTGTTATATAATGGGTTTGAAACAATGAATGATTCCTGAGTTCTGATGAAGGAATAATCCCTTTCCAGTGCATTACTGGGAGCTGGGGTAAGCAGAGAAAAGATAGTCTCCACTAAAAACACCAGACTTCCACCATTATGAGTGAATCAAAATGCTTTCGAGAAAAAGAGTAAGGCTGTTGGACATAGCGAAAGGACTAATCGAAGAGCGGAAGAGATGTCAGGCAATATAAGGAAGATCATGATGAAACAGAACTAAGGATTTTGTCACAAAAAAAAAAAAAAAAAAAAATGGATGCAGCTGTGCCAAAAAGTACTCTAAAAGGATATCCAAACGATCTTAAGTTTTCATAAAGAACTGGAGAGCTTATATTAAAATAAATTCCTTTGGGGGCTGGCGCTGTGTCGTAGCGGGTAAAGCCACCGCCTGCAGTGCCAGCATCCCATATGGGCGCCGGTTCAAGACCCAGCTGCTCCACTTCCAATCCAGCTCTCTGGGAAAACAGAGGAAGATGGCGCAAGTCCTTGGGTCCCTGCACCTGTGTGGGAGACCGGGAGGAAGCTCCTGGCTCCTGGCTTCGGATCAGCACAGCTCCGGCCATTGTGGCCAACTGGCGAGTGAACCAGTGGATGGAAGACCTCTCTCTCTCTCTGTAACTCTGACTTTCAAATAAATAAATAAATCTTTAAAAATTAATTAAGTAATTAATTAATTCCTTTGGTCATTAGGGAATGTTTGTCCTTTCCAATAGTACTGTTTTAGAAAAACTGCTTTTACAATATGACTTCCTCCTCCCTCTAAGAATGCAATTACAACTTTAAACAGCTGTTATAAAGAGGTACTGATACAGCAAATAGAGGATCATGTACCCCTCTTTGTAAAGCAAACAAAATTAAAGGAATTTGGCTATGGTTAACCTGATGCCACCAATTTTTTCCAACAAAATGCCCACAGGCAGCGATTTTGATACAGAAATGGAAACAACCAGGTTCGATTACCTTAGCAGGACCTTGTCAAGTGAAGCACAACTGAAGGAGAATGTGGTGTTAGGAGAGTTCGTTTATAGTTTTAAGGCTATTTGTTAGGATGGTTGGATCAATGTGTAATCAAGCAATAGAACAGGCAAAAAGAAGAAATTATATTATGATTTGTTATAATTCACAAAAATGCAAGATTGGACCAAGAGTTCTTTGCAAACAGTCAAGCAATTAATTCTGAGATTAGGCAAAGAAGATTCATAGACCGATTCCTTAGCATCCATGTGGGGTGATGTGTACTCAACAAATGATTCTTTTGTCAAGCATTCAGTCATTCATTAAAAAATTTAAAAAGTATACTATGTCCTTCAACAGTAACAGTGAGCATATACCAAACCCAGAACTGTGGCTGGAAATGAAGTTAGAAAACTACCAATTAGTATTCTTTGGCAAACTGATACAAGCAAGCTCTCTTTCTTAAACACGGCATGAAAATATTAAAGTATGGAAACATAAAGGGCTATAAATCAGCAAACTTGGCAAATCCCCAAAATTTCCTACGACTAAACACAGAAACATCTCATTTCAAAGTCCTTTGCCTTTTCCCTGAATAAGTGTTTTAATGAACATAATCACAAGTAAGGCAAAGTTCCCTAAGCACTGGAAATCAAAACATCTTAATTGAATTTTTTGCAAAGCTGGTAGGGATGCTACCAGGAATTACAGACAGATGGGCTCATGAGTTACTGCAGAATACTTGATTGCATCAAAAGATTTATAAACTATCCTTTATTACCCTGGGTCAGAATGCTCAAAGCATTTGTGTATCTGACAAGAATTTCACATGCTGAACTACACCAGGGCTGCCAGCACCCTGTTCAATTTAAAACATTCACAAGGCTGTTCGAAGGTTTAAAATGTAGCACCTTTGTAAATGCTTATATCAGGGATACCGTTACATCCAAAGAGATGAAAAGAATAGCATATCCTCTGCCTTCTTGACTGTGCCTACAGCGTCCATACTTGCTGTAACTCCAAAGTAGAAGAAATAATCAATCATCATGATTAAGAGCACAACCAACAACAGGCCCTACAATCGATTTATTTATTTAAACATTGACAAAGAAGCAAGGACAGAAAACGGAGCCAGACTTCATATACACTCACGCAGTTAATGACACTCTGAAACCCCTCTCTCAGCTGTACTTCAGGTCAGAGAGTACCAACAGCACTGGCGCTCCATCGGGAAAACTGACAGACATCTGCCTGTTGGCAAAGCAGAACAAAATCTGCTACTGGTGCAAGCAGTGGACAGAAGGTGGAGCCAAGAAAAAACTAAACAAGCAAAGGGAAAAGGACTATTGCACGAGGGAAAGCAACATAATTTACACTGTGAATTCTAACAAAGATGGACTACACTCAAAGGAGGGGAGGGGAACCTACATCCTACAAAGCTAAGGTCTACACACTCATATAGAATTTACTAGACTGCTTCTTAAATCTCAGATAAGTGACACGAATACAGTTATCATATAGCATTTTCAGAATCACCTGAAGCATGGTTTAACATAGAAAAATCTTAAAAATACACCTGATGAACTTCTCATTAATGTTTTACGTTAGACAGCCCAATCCACCAAGTAATCAGGTCCTTGCCATCTCAGCTGGGACAGGAGCGCAAGTCCCCCCTCTCTGGGAGGTGAAAGAAGAGGAAAGATTTCCGGACCTAACTCCCAGTGCTAGTCCCGCTGGAAGACCCAGAACAGCCGCTTACTTTTCCTGAGCCTCCATTCCCTTGCTGGTAGCGGGGGGCGTCACAGGCCAGGAGACATCTACTCTCCCTTCCAGGTTACCAAGGGATGAATCCACAGTGGAACTGAAATGTGGGCCACACCATTCAACAGGCACTCTGCAGAATGCTAGAATATCTATTTTTAAAAAAAACAGAAAGCCGACAGACTTCAGGGACCACGCGATTCCCAAAATTGATTCTGGGGAACTGCGAAGCGCACACACAAACTTTAAAACACCATCGCATGAAAAACAGCGCCTACTTCAATAAAGGGGACTACGTGGAAACGAACACCCTTGCGGTGCCTGGAAAACTGATCCAGGGGCACCGTCTTTTCGTGGATTCCACCAAATCTGAGGTTGCCGAGGGTTACACAACAACGCAAGTGTTCGGGACTCAAATCCAGGCCTGACACCCTGCGGACCTCACCGGTGTCACCCGGACTTTCACACTGCAGGGAACCCACGGGGAGGGCGAAACAGTCGTTGAGTTACTGATAACTGAAGAACTTGGAGAGAGCGGCGGGCGAGGCGACCGCACCACCTCGCCATCCCTTTCTCCTCCCCAGCCCGGGAGGCCCAGGGCTGCCCGCCCTCACTCCACCTCGGGATCCCGGCCGCGAAAGTCACCTGTGAAGGAGTCAGGGTAGATGGATTCCAGGGCCTCCAGCTCGTTACGCTGTTCCTCGCCGTAATCTGTCATCCTGGCTCTCGCGGCGTCCGCCCATGGATCTCGCAGACACCCAGGCGGCGCGCTGCAGGCGAGAGCGCGGCCGAGCAGGGAGAGCAGGCGGCAGCCGGGCGAGCGCAGGCGCAGAGCCCCAGCCGGGGAGGCCTGGGGCCCACAGCCAGGCCGGGCCAGCTGAGATACCCGCCCAGAGCCGGCCTCCGTTTGCTCCCCAAATCGGCGTTCGATTTAATCTGCCTACTCCGGAAGGGCGCCGCTTTGCCGCCTGCCTCACGTCAGCTCGGGGTTTGCTGGGACTTTGGACCTTCCGGTCAGGCATTCGCCAAGAACAGCCAGGGCCGGCTCCTGGGTGTAGTAGGGCCGGAGCGTGAAAAGCCCCTGAGCCCGGCGTCCTCGCTCGATGCGTCCGGGCTGGCGGCCGGCCTCGCGCGCCTGGGCGGGGCGGTGAGGCGAGTGCCGGAAAAGGGAGTCGTAGGCGGCGAGCCCTGTGGTGTCGGCTGGTGGTGGGGTTCGCGTGTGTTGGGGCTTTTCTTGGACTGCACGTTGCCCGACAGCCCACGGGAGTTGGGCGAGCGGCAGGGGCCAGTGTAGGAGCTGCTGAGCCGGGCTGTGTGTCCGCGCCGGGCGAGTCCGGAGGGTCGGCCCCTGGGCTAAGTCGAGGGGAACCGGAGAAAGCTGCTCCTGGGCCCGAGGTCTCCAGCCTGCCTTTTGTGAAGTCAGCGCCACTGAACGTAGACCTAAAATATCTGATTATTTCTGTGAGTCCATGAAGGAGATGTAGATGTCAGTAAATTTTGATATGCGTTCGGTACCTTGGACTTGGTGATAATCACTTCTCAGAACAAACAGTGTAAATAACATGCAAAGTAGATGCATACACAAAATGTATGCATTTAAGACACATACGAAAATAAAGTATTTACGTCTGTCATCTGTTCACTGAAGGAATTGCAAAGATTGTCAGAGAACCATAATGGCAAAAGCTAAGAATGTGGCTAAATAAGCAATACGTTTTAGACTAATTTTTTTTTAAAAGATTTATTTACTTGAAAGAGATACAGAGAGAGGGCGAGAGACAGAGAAATCTTCCATCCACTGGTTCACTCCCCAAATGGCCACAGCAATCAGCAATGGGCCAGATTAAAGCCAGGCGCTTCTCCGGGTCTCCCACGTGGATGCAAGGGCCTAAGCACTTGGGCCATCTGCTGCTGCTTTCCCAGGTGCAGTAACAGGGAGCTGGATCGGATGTGGACCAGCCAGGTCTCCAAACAGTGCCTATATAGGATCCCAGGGATGCAGGAAGTGACTATACCTGCTACATCACAATGCCGGCCCCAAAAGGCCCCAGATGAACATTTTTTGAACTTTTTAGGTTTGTACTTTTGTTTATAAAAAAGGAACCTATGTTTGTTACATTATGATGTTAAGTCAAAAAAATTTTTGTTTTCTATATTAAAGCTGGTTTCACTCATTTAATATGGGAAACACTTTTCAAATAAAATGCTCCTTAATCATGAAAGCTCTGGGGGCCGGCGGCGTTGTGACACAGAGGATTAAGCAGCCGCCTGTGGCTCCTGCATCCCTTTGTTTTACATCAGATCACTGTAATGTTGAAACAAAAGAGTGATAATCTGACCCTATTTTCATACTTTTGGGACAACACTGGTTATTGTGATGAAAATTTACTTAAGGGAGACAGAATCTGGAAGTGTAGAGACTAAATATAGCAATAATTTGTGCAAAAGAATGGTGATGTGGACTGGAGCAGCAATAATAGTAGTGAAGTAGTCATCGAATTTTGAATATATTTTAAAGAGAGAGAGCTGTTAGGATTTGATATAGGTTGTAAAAAAGAGAGCAATTAGGTGGTGAATTTCAGTAACACCATCCGGGAATTTTTTTTTTTTAAGATTTATTTATTTGAGAGGCAGAGTTACAGTCAGAGAGGCAGAGACAGAGAGAGGTAGAGAGGTTCATCCTCTGGTTCACTCTCCAAATGGTCATAATGGCGGAGCTGGACCAATCCAAAGCTAGGAGTCAGGAGCTTCTCCCAGGTCTCCCATGTGGGTTCAGGGGTCCAAGCATTTGGGCCATCTTCCACTGCTTTCCCAGGCCATCAGCAGGGCTCTGGATCAGAAGTGTAGCAGCCGAGACTCGGGGTGCTAGTGCCACAAGTGGGAGGCTTAACCTACTGAGCCACAGCTCCGGCCCCTGGGCATCTTTTTAATTTGCCTTTTGTATTTATTTGAGAGGTAAGAAGACAGAGCTCCCGTCTGCTGGTTCACTCCTCAAAGGCCTGCAAGGGCCCCAGCTGCAGCTGAAGCCAGGAGCCAGGAACTCAATCCAGGTCTCCCCCATGAGTGGAAGAAGCCCATTGACTTGAGCCATCACCACTGCCGCTCAGGATGTGTTACTAGGAAGCTGGAGTGAGGAGCCAGAGCCGGGTATGGAACTCAGGTACTCTGATATGAGACACTGGTATCTTAACCAGAGTTTTAACCTCCAGGCTGAACCCTGCCCGAATAACTTCTGGTTTAACACCTCATTTGTACCCTTTTCTGGCCATCTATGCTGATGCAAAACAGCAATGGAAGTGATCCTGTTACTGTGTAAATCAGATCTTGTCACTCCTTTGCTCATAATTCCTCCCCTCCTAACTCCAATCTCAGATGAGAGGCCCATGTCTTTACAATGCAGGCCCTGTAGACTCTGGCTCCTAAACCTCAGGACCTGCAGCTCCTGTTCCCTGTCTGACATTTTCTCTCCCTCTCTGATGCCTGTTCTCTGCTCCAGCCACAGTGTCTTTCCCATTCCTCAAAAATGCAAAGCAAATTCTCCTCCTAAGGTCTTTGCATAGGCTGTCCCCTCTACCTAGAATGCTCTTACCATACTCACATGGTTCATTCCTCATATCCTTCAAGACTTTCATCAGATGTCACTTTTTCAATGAGGCTACACAACCCTATTTAAAATTTAGAATTACAAATAATTCTCAGTACTCCCCATCCCCTTTACCCTAGCCTATTTTTCCACTGTAGCATTATACTAGAAATAGTTATATGTATGCTGTCTCTCCCTCTTGTAGAATTTAAGTGCTGTGAGGGCAAGGATCATTGTCACAGTTGTATTTTAGCTTAGATGGTAATCCCTAAAGCAGAGTAGGTACCTAGAAAATACTCACTTGCTGAATGAATGAATGAATGTAAAAGTACTGGATTCGAGGTTTTTAATACAAGGTTGTAGGTCTGTTTTGCAATTAATTTACAATATAGATTTGAGTAACAACTTTCTTGGGTCCCAGCTTTCCCATTTATATATTCAAGAAATTGTGTAAAAATGATTTCTGAGATTGTTTCCAGATATAAAAGCCTGTGGTTCTTCGAGATCACACTTATATTGGAAACAGTTTTATGGAACTAGACTTTAAAGTTAGCAGTTAATTTCTCTGACCCAAGGTGTTAGAGCCAAAGGAATATTTCCATGAGTGGAGTTGCCACTCTTAACAGCCTTGATATTAATGTTGAATCATATAACAAGTGGGTCCTCAATTCTGAGCAAAAACAAAGGAAGGCCAACACAAATTTTAAGTGGGGACATTTCCAATATTATCTTGCATTTAAGGACAAAGTATGAAGTGAGCAGGCAAGAAACAGTGTATACATGTTTCTTTTCTCCCATTTTGGCCATTTTGATCTTCCCTTTGACTTTCCTTTCTCCATCTTTTTGTCTGTCTGTCTCTCTAGCCTCTGCTTTAGAATAAAAGGAACTGGTTGGAGACGAAAGAGAAAATGAAGGAGCAAGGGAGGTTTGGAAGAGGATAGGGTTAGTGAAATGCAGTATAAGTTACTTAAAATGTATGGGGGGAAATGAATATGAGAATTAAAATTAAAAATTAAAATGTAAGTCACCAATTTGGGAAAATATGGTAAAGGGTTAAGTCAGAGCTTCTTCTAAGATATGTATGATTCCAATGGCAAATATTTTTTGTGAGGTCATTTCTAAATGAACTATTTTACTTCATTAAGAATGCTTTTTAAAAAAAATCCTAGTGTAATAAAAAAGATTTAGAATAGACTTAATAAAGTAGTTATGCATTTGCTTATTGTTAATCAGTGTGCATAAAGATTCTCTGTAAGATTCATGCAGTCTTTCTTCACATTCAAGTTAAGAATCATCTCTTCATGTTCTTTGTTGTCAAATGCACTATTGCTGTTTAATTTTGTACCTCTCACCATCATTTAAAAAATAGCAACACTGTTATACACAATATCATGGCTCTGTGATTTCTATTGGAATAATATAATTCTGGCTTCCATGGTACTCTAATAAGGACCCTCCAGCTCTGGAGCTATATATATGGGAGTTGGCAGCTCTGATTGGGGCACCCAGGACTCCCCATGCTGGGGGAAGACCATCAGAGAGCTTTGGAAGGGAAGAAATGCCCCACCCCTGCACTTCCCAGAAAGTATCTGAGAAGGAGCTCAAAAGCCAGGCACTCCAATGGGGGACAGTGTGAAATTACACACTAAATTATTATTCTAGCTCTGCCAGTAATGGCTTAGGTGGTTTTTGCATTTGGTTTTATCTTCCCTACAAAATATAAACCTTTCTCATCGGACCTCATAAGTTCTGCCACATTATCATTGGACTAAACATACTATTTTAGAGGCATCTTTATCAAATTCAAATCACTTTAAGGTGAAAGAATGACAAGCATAAGCTTATCTAATAGGCCTGCTACTCTGAATTTATGAAATCTATAAATTAGTAAAGCACACATAAACCCAGTTTCCTATTTTGTTTGTTTTGACATTTGCTTTTCCACATCTTAAATGCTGAAAAATATCTACATCAGTGTTGTGCAGCGGATTAACCTGCTGCCTATGACTCCAGCATCCCATATGAGTACCTATTTGAGTCCTAGCTGCTCTGCTTCTGATCCAGCTCCCTGATAATGGGCCTGAGAAAGCAATAGAAGATGACCTGAATGCTCAACTCCTGCACCCATGTGGGAAACCCAGATGGAGTTCCAGGTTCCTGGCTTTGGCCTGGCCCAGCCCTGACCTTGTGGCCATTTAGGGAGTGAACCATAGGATCAAGAACTCTTCTGTGTGTCTCTCCCACTCTCTCTGTAACTCTGCATTTCAAATAGATAAATCTTAAAAGAATAAACAGTTTATAGTATACAGTTATTGATGCCACTAGCTAGCAACAATACAAGAAAAATGTATTCAAGTATTTTATTTGTAGCCTAAAAAGAAACAGCTATAAGAAAGTTTATATTCAGCTATTCTTTCTGCACCTCAATACACTTTTTTTTTTTTTTTTTGACAGGCAGAGTTAGACAGTGAGAGAGAGAGAGAGAGAGAGGTCTTCCTTCTGTTGGTTCACTCCCCAGATGGCCACTACAGCCAGCACGCTGCACCAATCTGAAGCCAGGAGCCAGGTGTTTCCTCCTGATCTCCTATGCAGGTACAGAGCCCAAGCAGTTGGGCCATCCTCCACTGCACTCCCGGGCCATAGCAGAGAGCTGGACTGGAAGAGGAGCAACCGGGACAGAATCTGGTGCCCCAACTGGAACTAGAACCTGGGGTGCCAGCGCCACAGGTGGAGGATTAGCCAAGTGAGCCGCAGCGCCGGCCCCTCAATACACTTTAAAAATTGAAACACGCTTTGTTTTGTTTATAAAATACTATCTTATAGATTTATTTTCCTAGAGCAAAAATTTTGCTTAGGGAGGAGCATACCACATATAGAATCACAGGATGTTGTGCTATAAGTGACCTTGAAGAGGTCTTAATCCAAAGGTTATTACTGATAAGCTTGCAGGTTCATGAACTCATGATGTGTATTGGTATATTTATTAATGTCCTATTGTCTCTGTAAGAAATGACCACAAATTTAGTAGCTTATAATCATGCAAGTTTATCATAGTTTTATAACTCTAAGGACAGTATGCCAGGGGTCCTCAGAAAGCTCAGATAAAACACATATTATGAAAAAAATTCCATGGATTTTTAAAAATCTTGCAATAAAATAAAAGTATCTTTTAATTTCATGCTTCCTAGAACTTTCGGAAATTCCTGAGTATAGTTCTTACTGTTCTGTGGGCAGTAAAGGTGTCAGCAGGCTGTGCACCTCCTCGGGCTTTTAGAGAGAGTCCATTTCCTTACCTTTTCTAGTTTCTAGGGTCTGGGCTTATTCCTCAGCTTGTTATTTCCTCTATCTTCAAAGTTCACAATGGTGGATTGGATCTTTCTCAAGATACATCAAGACACGGTTTATACAAGATGAATGGTTAGTGAATGTGTTTTCCTGATCCCTGTGTTGGCCCTTCATAACTATGGTCCACCAAAAACAGACTCACCATTTATAGCAGTATCTTTTTTTTTTATCTTTTATTTAATGAATATAAATTTCCAAAGTACAACTCATGGGTTACAATGGCTCCCCCCCCAATACCGTCCCTCCCACCCACAACCCTCCCCTTTCCCACTCCCTCTCCCCTTCCATTCACATCACGATTCATTTTCGATTATCTTAATATACAGAAGATCAGCTTAGTATACCTTAAGTAAGGATTTCAACAGTTTGCTCCCACACAGAAACATAAAGTGAAAAATAATAGATGATTTTTTTTTAAAATGATGATGAAATCAGATCAGACCTATTGTCATGTTTAATCCCAGTGAGAGTCAAGTTGGGAATTGATAATTTCTTTTTTTTTTTTTTACAGAAGATCAGTTTAGTGTACATTAAGTAAAGATTTCAATCGTTTGCACCCCCATAGAAACACAAAGTGAAATATACTGTTTGAGTACTCGTTATAGCATTAAGCCTCAGTGTACAGCACATTAAGGACAGAGATCCTACATGAGGAGTAAGTGCACAGTGACTCCTGTTGTTGACTTTACAAATTGACACTCCTGTTTATGGCATCAATAATCTCCCTATGCACCAGTCATGAGTTTCCAAGGCTATGGAAGCCCCTTGAGTTCTCCGACTCTTATCTTGTTTAGACAAGGTCATAGTCAAAGTGGAGGTTCTCTCCTCCCTTCAGAGAAAGGCACCTCCCTCTTTGAAGACCTGTTCTTTCCACTGGGATCTCACTCACAGAGATCTTTTTGCCAGAGTGTCTTGGCTTTCCATGCCTGAAATACTCTCATGGGCTTTTCAGCCAGATCCGAGTGCCTTTAGGGCTGATTCTGAGGCCAGAGTGCTATTTAGGACATCCGCCATTCTATGAGTCTTATAGCAGTATCTTGCCTGTGCCCTGCATAAGAAAGAGAACACTTGAAACTCCAAAGCAGGCTTGCAGTTAGTCTGTGGCTAATGAAATCAGTTCTTCGGTAGATTGGGTCCAAAAATTATGCCCCAGTGAGAAAAGCTGGTTTTCTAAGAAGCACTATGCCTTGAAAATGGGCCCTTATGTATGCAGGTACATTTCAGGTGGATAGTGGGACTCATGTGATAAGGCACCTCCTTGTCAGACTTCCAGTTATTCATTGACAGGAATGTGAGGAGAACCCTCCTAACACCTGTAAGGCCCTGGAAGGTTGGTAAGCTGCCTCCATTGCTATAGTCTAGCACAGAGACATGTAGTGCAGGCTCAGAAGTCATTCCAGTGCTATATTCAAACTTCATAACTTACGTGTAAGTGACCTTTGGCACATCGCTTCTCTGTGTCTCCATTACTTCACGAAAAAAATGGAGGAACTTGCTTCATCGATATTAGATAGGCTTATATTCCAATACAACTCATGATTCATCATTTATCTAACAATATGATTATATAAATAGGAAAATATTTCATAGGCCTAGAACTTTACAGAATTCTTTCACATTTCCTACATTATTTAATATCATTTCAGAAAATTATTTTTTAATTTGTGACTTTATTTTTCACTTTGTTGAAAGTAGCTACAGTATAGTTAGCTCCATATTGTTTTTACTGTCATTAACCATCACCCCCTTCTACAGATGGGTCTGCAGATACCTGTCTGGGCCAGTGGGTGGCAGCAGAGGAAGCCAAACTATTACTATTTTTTTTTTTGACAGGCAGCGTGGACAGTGAGACAGTGAGAGAGACAGAGAGAAAGGTCTTCCTTTGCCGTTGGTTCACCCTCCAATGGCCGCCGCGGCCGGCGAGCTGCAGCCGGCGCACCACGCTGATCCGAAGCCAGGAGCCAGGTGCTTCTCCTGGTCTCCCATGGGGTGCAGGGCCCAAGCACTTGGGCCATCCTCCACTGCACTTCCGGGCCACAGCAGAGAGCTGGCCTGGAAGAGGGGCAACCGGGACAGAATCTGGTGCCCCGACTGGGACTAGAACCCAGTGTGCCGGCGCCACAAGGTGGAGGATTAGCCTAGTGAGCCGTGGCGCCGGACTATTTTCTTAAAACCTGTTTTACTGAGATTAAAAATTGTCTTTGGTGGTTAGTATGGGAAAATAATTCAGGTCAGAGGTAATATATTTTGCTTCCCTGGAGATACCATCCATTACTTTTCAATAGAATGGTCATATTTATGGATGCACAACCCCTCAGCACAAAAAACCAGGTGCAGAGCTGTCTACTCTCCTCTGCCTTCCAAGATCTGTCCTTTGTTGACCAGTACTACATTTTGGTAGACTTTATTTATACACTAAAGTTTTATCTCTATATATTATATTTTCTAGGTGGCAAGTAGCCACCTAGTCCTGCATTCAAAAGGTCTTGGGTTGGCTATGCCACTTCAAACTGAAGGGTCAGTCAATGTGATTTCCTTCTGTGCTACAAACCAGAGAATGAAAACACATAGTAAAATCACATTGTTAGTTTTTATTACAATCACATATTATGGGTGTTTGTTAATGAGAGTCAAGACTGAGAACAGAAAAGGAGGATGACAGAATATAAGTGATTTTGAAAATAAAAAGGAATGCATCTTGACCTTGGGTTTTTCTTTCTCCCTTGGGAAAGAGGCAACTTAGATTGTAGAGGGGAAATGAAGGAACTGACAAAATTAAACTCAAGAAATATGCAAGTCTCTATTTGCCAAGCCACAGAATTTGATGTGGTAGCCAAAAGCATTTGGTAGCAAAATATAAGATAGTATCAGCACATAATTGATTTTAATTATATGTTATATAATTACATAAATCCATTAAACATAAAGGGGAGGAAATGACATGTTCTAAATGGAAAAGTTTTGTCTAACTTCCTGTGTAATAAAAGAATAGACAAAAAATAAATTCAATGTATTTGATGTGAAATGTGTAATATACACTGTATAACACACATCACAAGGATGTGTACTATCCTTTAAATGTTCACATGGGTGCTATAAAATACTTTGAAAACATGTAGAAGAGCCAAGGAATACTTAAAATCCTTGGCCAGAAAGCTACAGTGGAAGATCATGTTCAGTTGGCTCCAAACATAACCTGTATATGTCAGTTTGAAAGAATGTGATATAAAAAGGGTTTCAGAAACTAATAGAAACAAAGTCACCTAGTGTCCAGGTATAAAGAACTATTAATCTTCTTCTTGATTATGTACTACAAAGCTTTGCATGTTCTTTGATTTTGCTATAAATTGAAATCTTATTGAGGCATCTTTACTGTGGTATAGTTCCTGAAAACTAATAAACTAATTCTGAGCATGATGTAAGGTGTTCATTTAACTACTGTTTCCTTGCAGAAAGGAATTTCTAAAATTCTCAGATAAATAGAGCCATGAAATTTTAGAGCTGGAGGAGAACTTATAGAACCAAGTGGATGTGCCCTTCCATGATCACAGAGTTCATTTATACCAGACTGAAACTATGATTTTGGTTGCCTTCAACAACACACTTCTGTTTTGTCTTTAATGCCCTTCTGTAATACCACATTAATACTGAGTATAGATTTAGTGTACAAACTGGAATAGCTTTCCTTGCTCATTTGAAAAAAGATCAGTTCATTAACAATCTTTTAAAAATGGAATTGAGATAAATGTCTTTAGAGAAAACTCAGAATCAAATTCAGTGCTTTTTTTTTTCTTCCAAAAGAAACAAACTTAAATGTTCTTGGATATTACGCGGAGGTACAAATAGAGATAATCAGAATTACAAGTAGGAAAAAAAATGATAGAAGACACTGAACACAAAGAGGAAGAGATAAAGTGATTTTAATAGAACTTATGAAAGGCACTGGGCTGAACACTTAGTTTGTATTTTCACATTAATCCTCACAACAGCTCTAAGAGGTAGCTACTATGTACAGATGACAAAATGGCACCCAGAAATATTAATTTTAACATATCTACTAAGTAAAAGAACCAAGATACAGATGTCAATAAGACTTCAAATTCTCAGTTGTTTTTTCTTAGGCCAATATGATATTGTAGTCATTACCAGACAATCAGTGAAATTTCAGAGGGAGAGATTGGGACAATTTTCAGATAAATTGATTTTGGATGGAGCTATGTAACAAATATCAAAGAAGGAGAAAAGATGAAGAGATTACATTGAAACTTCATCATTGTAAAATCAAATATGTTAAGCAACCTGAATTGTGAGATGTGCTTTATAATCAAGGCTTTAATTCAATACCCCCTGACCGGTCTTCGTCATTTTCCTCAACCACCCTGTCTCCAAGGATGCTATAGTGGCCTTGCAAGTCATCACCCATGCCTAGAAAACTGGGTGCTGAAATCTCTCTCCAGTCCTGACATGAAGGAATGCGGACATGTTTGACATCTTCACTCCCAGGAGCAAAGCCAAATAGTTTCTCTATGCGCTGCGAGATGAGGAGCCGGGAGTGCTGCTTTGCAGCTTCTTCAAAGAGCTCTCTCTCATTTTGGAGGTGGTTCGTCCAGTAGCAATGCTGCAGAGAGGTGAGGGGTGAGCAGCACCTCATCAAACAGCGAGAGATAAGGACAGCGATGAATGTCAAGGTGATCAAAATCCAGCCGAGCATCTTCACATAACGATTAGAAAGAAAAACAGAAAGCATCAATATATCAAATATTTGAGAAACACCCATATTTGGAGAAGTTCCAACAAAACTAAGACCTAAAATGTGGATAACAAATTTCTTTGTCCATATCTTAATATATTAGTAAAATTCTGATCACTGTTGTAAAAACAGGTCTACTGGAAGGTATAGGCTCAGATATTTCAACTTGGTCTTTGGATCACAAAGAAATTTGGCCAGTTACATTGGAATGGATCTAAGTATTGTTCTTGAATGACAGATGCTGTAACCCACCAATTAACCTTGCATAAGATATATAAATGATTTTCTTCGCTTATGACTCTATGGTACTCTCAGCTATCAGGTACAGGTCCATGCATTCTTTGGAGGTTTAACAAATATTTGATAATGATGGTGGAAGAAATGATGATATGATGGATAATAATGGTAGCCTCCTATGGTATCTTCAATGATGTACCAGTAAATATTCATTGGGATTTTTTCCTGAGTTGCTCTTTCCTATTATCTTGCAACCAATGAAGAAAGTCAGTGAGTAGACCCATGTCTCTAAATGTAGTACTGATGATATAGTCGGTGTGTCACGTAGTATCTCGTTTTCCTTTTCATTTACTTTCTCCTCAAACAGTCATTTGCTGGCCAGTTTTGAAGTTCATTTTCCTTTGAAAGGAAAATGAAATAGTTTTTATTTAAGACTATTTAGTGTATGCCTTTTATTTTTTACAGAAGATTTATTTATTTGAAAGTCAGAGTTACACAGAGAGGAGAGATAGAGAGAGAGGTCTTCCATCCCCTAATTCACTCCCCAATTGGTGGCAACAACCGGAGCTGCGCCAGTCTGAAGCCAGGAGCCAGGAGCTTCATCTGGGTCTCCCACGTGGGTGCAGGGACTCAAGGACTTGGGCCATTTTCTACTGCTTTCCCTGGCCATAGCAGAGAGCTGGATCAAAAGTGAAGCAGCTGGGACTAGAACTGGCACCCACATGAGATGCCAACACTGCAGGCGGCAGCTTTACCCACTACAGCTCAGCACCAGCCCCAATGTATGCCTTTTGAAACTGATGTAAGGGGCCAGCATTGTGCATAACTGCTAAAGCTGCTGCCTGCAATGCTGGCATCCCATATGGGTGCCGGTTCGAGACCCGGCTGCTCCTCTTCCGATGCCGCTCTCTGCTATGGCCTCGGAAAGCAGCAGAGGATGGCCCAAGTCCTTGGGCCACTGCACCAGAGTGGGAGACCCAGAAGAAGCTTCTGGCTCCTGGCTCCTGGCTCCTGGCTTCGGATCAGCACAGCTCCAGCCATTGTGGCCATTTGGGGAGTGAAGCAGCAGATGGAAGACCTTCTCTCTCTCTCTCTCTCTCTCTCTCTCTCTCTCTCTCTCCCTGCAACCCTGCCTTTCAAATAAATAAACCTTTAAAAAAACTGATGTAAATGGCTTTCCTATTCTTAGAATCCATTTTTTGTTTTAATTATTATTTCTTCCATTTTCAGCAGATGTTACATAAAATGAGAGGCAAGTCACACACATTTAGGAAAGCCAACAGCGTGTAGCCTGTTTGGGTAGTATATGCCTCTTCTGCATCTTGTGATTCACCAACAAGCCTGGTGTTATCAGTGTGTAGTGAGACAGTTGTGCTCTGTGGACACTAAAACATGCAAAATGATGTTTATTATAATTTTAGCTTAATAGAGGCCAACGCAGCAGAACAAAGGCTATCTTAGATGTCCATCAAATATTATTTATTGAGTTTCAGGTTGATCTCTCACCATGGGTAGTACATGGTGCATAGTAATGTGGACTCAGATAGGAATTGGTTTTTACCATCATCTGTAGGCCTGAAAATGGAAGTAAAAGAACATTAGCTAAGAAATGTGGTACAACATGATAGGTTTTTTTGTTTTTGTTTTTGTTTTTTTTGACAGGCAGAGTGGACAGTGAGAGAGAGACAGAGAGAAAGGTCTTCCTTTTGCCATTGGTTCACCCTCCAATGGCTGCCGCGGCCAGCGTGCTGCGGCTGGCACATCACGCTGATCCGAAGGCAGGAGCCAGATGCTTCTCCTGGTCTCCCATGGGGTGCAGGGCCCAAGGACTTGGGCCATCCTCCACTGCACTCCCGGGCCACAGCAGAGAGCTGGCCTGGAAGAGTGGCAACCGGGACAGAATCCGGCGCCCCGACTGGGACTAGAACCCGGTGTGCCGACGCCGCAAGGTGGAGGATTAGCCTATTGAGCCACGGCGCCGGCCTCAACATGATAGTTTTTGATATAGGGAAATACAGTATCTGAGCGAAGAAACTGACCAGGGTTAAGGAGGGAATTTCACAGACAGAAAAATTATTTCTCCCAAGAAGGCATAATAATTCTTGAGAAAAAACTTTAAAAGCCAGCGCTGTGGTACAGCAGGTAAAGATGCCGCCTGCAGTGCCGGCATCCGATATGGGCACTGGTTCTAGTCCCAGCTGCTCCACTTCTGATCCACCTCTGTGCTATGGCCTGGGAAAGCAGTAGAAGACAAGCCAAGTCGTTGAGCCCCTGCACCCATCTGGGAGACCCAGAAGAAGCTCCTGGCTCCTGGCTCCTGGCTTCAGATCGGTGCAGCTCCAACCATTGCAGCCAACTGGAGAGTTAACCAGCAGATGGAGGACCTCTCTCTCTATGCCTCTCCTTCTCTCTCTGTGTAGCTCTGCCTTTCAAATAAATAAATAAATATTTAAAAAAAACTTTCACCAGATGCAAGATATTGAAGAGCATTCTAATAAAGGAAGAAGATAGATAAGAGCATGAAAAAAATTGGAAGAACTTCTAGAAACTTGGAATCATGATCATAGAAGTCAGGTGGAAAAGTGGTCAAGCTAGGTATCGAAGGACCTAGTATGTCATTCCAAGGAATTTCAGTTTTGCTTAGGTTGGTAGGAAATCATGGAAGGGTTGTATAGGAGGGGAGGAGATCTCATCATCAAAATGGCATCGAAAAATGCTTCTGCCATGTGTGTAAAAGGTAGATTGAAGTTGGGGTAAAACTACTGTCAGGAAGGTATTTTAAAATAGATCATGGGCAATGAAGAGAAGTGAACCTCATAGAGCTTGTGGTTAACCCAGAAAAACTCAACTGGAAAACAATGTATATTCTTCAGATGAAACTGAGGTTCCAGATAGTTGCAGAAGGCAGCCTGGTAGCATGGAATGATCTTTAAGTATCTTGATCAGCTACATATTCTGTGAACTTATACAAGTTAAATAAACTCTGAGTTTGTATTTACTCTTCTGTAAAATGAAGTTAATAATATCTGTCAGTATTATGAGAGTTAGTTAAGATGTGACTATTTATATAATAAATGATAAAGAACTCTGTATATATAGTCACAAAACCAAGAAATCTAGTGGTGATTGTACTCAGAACTATAAAACTGTCTTTTCATATAAGCCTTGTAAGAATTTACTAAGATTTTATTTTGTCCTAAAGAAAATCATATAATTTTATATTACATATTAGGTTTTCATTATAAAGAACATATTTGAAAGTTATAATATTCTGTTGACATTTTTGAATTTTCTAATATCTTCACATGGATCCTCTGCCTGAGCTTTATAGATGGTATTTAAAGATTGAGTAAACCATATCCAAAGAGATTTTAAACATGTATTAAATTGGGCCATAGTGTCATCCTTCAATATTATGTCCTGATAGTAATTTTTCAACCAGATATCTAAATTTTAATAACTAAAGGCTACACGTCAAAAATTATCTATGTCTTTATGTCTTTGCAGTAAGTACTTTTTTTTAAAGTCTGGAAGAAGGGATTGGGTAGAGTGGACTCCAGATTTTAGTGCTTTTTTTTTTTTTTTTTGACAGATAGAGTTATAGACAGTGAGAGAGAGACAGAGAGCAAGGTCTTCCTTCCGTTAGTTCACTCCCCAAATGGCCAGAACTGCGCCAATCTGAAGCCAGGAGCCAGGTGCTTCCTCCTGGTCTCCCATGCAGGTGCAGGGCCCAAGGACTTGGGCCATCCTCCACTGCACTCCCGGGCCACAGCAGAGAGCTGGACTGGAAGAGGAGCAACCAGGACTAGAACTGGCCCATATGGGATGTTGGCGCCGCAGGCAGAGGATTAACCTAGTGCGCCATGGCATCAGCCACTGCAGTAAGTACTTTTTAAAAATGATGTGCTTTTACTGTATTGCAGTGGTTTGAAAATGTTTTCCCTCAAATCTTTTGGAGAAGGTGATGAAAGCCAATGGCTCTGACCCTACTGAAAACACACACAATTTCACTGCCAAAATTTAACCTGTAAGCATGGTAGATTCAAGATTTCCCCCATACCACACCACATTCTGACACAAACCTGCTCAGGATCACCTTTGGGGTGTTTTTTTTTTAGTCATAATTAAATTCATATAATTTTATATAAATTTATAGAATTTTGTACATAAGAATGCATACGTACATTTGTAACAATATGTGACTTAGTAATATAGTAATACTTATATTAATAATTATTAAGTACAATTAATTTTTCAAATAGAGATTCTAGACCAAGTACTGAGCGCTTTAGATATATTAGCCCATTTATTTCTCACAGTAAACTTTTGAGATAGGTACTATTAATATCCCATTTTATTGCTGACGAAAGTGAAACATGGATAAGCTACATAACTTACTCAAGGTTTTGCAGGCTACTAAGTGGCAAAACAAGACTCAAACCCTGGTCTTTTGACTCCCAAACCCAATATCCTAACTCCTGCCACCCACTAAAACTCATTTGGAAGAATGGTATCTAGTCGATGTTCTATAATCAGACAATATGAAGCAGCACAAATGTTTCTAGTGACTGTACTTAGTATGGGATAGCATACCAGGAAAAAATATCAGAAACTTACCTGTGATTGGTATCTATGCAGAAGAACTACTTCATCTCTTACTTGGGTCACATCAGAAGGAGCTGATTTGCAGCATGGAAACCCAGCTAGCATCTCTTCTCGTTTGCCGGCAGTGACATTATTAAACACTGGGTACTGGTCCACAGATGCAAACTCACTTGCTGCACATTCATAGTAGGTACCTCTCAGCAGGGTCACTGCCAGCCACGTTAATGGAGCAATAAGTGCCCTCCCAGTGATGCTGAAGAACCTAAGGCAGGCCAGCTTGCGCTCCAGGGGGGTGACTGTCCGTTGTGAAGAGGCACAGCTGCAGCAATATTCAGTAGTAATCGTCCACATTTGGCTTCTCAGAGCATAGCCAGCAATCAGAAGGATCAAGGCAGGAAAGACAAGGAAAGCTGAACCATAATAGAAATTCTTCCCAACCTGACAGGGGCATCTGAACGTGTAAGAGGAGAACAATTGTTGCCCACCAATTGTCAAAGCCACAATTAAAGAATTGATAAATGTCCCACTTCTCTGTAGAGAAGATACAATATCGTTCAGAGTTGGGCTCATTGTAGCAAGCTCTGGCACAGATCAGCTTGTGGCCCTTTCTGATCATACACTCCGCCTGCTATAACCATTTTATGGGATCTTACTGGTCAAACTGGTTGTGTCAAGTGACCCAACATCCTTATATGTTTAAAGGATTCCAGCATCTTTCCTTGTGTACTTTGTGAATCCTGAACTAATAAATGCATCCATATTACAGCTACAAGAAATTGAGAGATTCATCTGATATAAGTGACAGGGGAGTCTTCTTCAGTGTTTCTTCCCAATAAAAAGAGGACTTCTTGCTTACAAAGCAAACTGCATACATCTTTCTGGATACTGCTTTGTATGACACAAAATACTAAGCATCAACAAATAGAGCATTAAAAACAGAAGAGACATTCTTGCCCTTGTATTCTCTACAATATAGAGAATAATGGAAATTATCAGATATTAGAGCCATTTCTATTTAACAGTGTTTTGAATGTCCATAATCTATGGGTTCTTTCAGAAGATCCCAAAAGTATTTCCCAAAAGAGAAGCAGCAGCTTAGGTAAAGTGAACCCTGAGTATAGATGTGGCAGCATAAAGTAATGATAAGCGCAAACATAATATTTTAAAGTCCTTTTAATTAATTATCTTTAAAAATAGCCATTTTATTTCAAAGGTACTACTAAAGCAATATATTTATTATTATAACATATTATTATATTATTGCTATGTAACCACTAAAAATAAAGATTAACCACCAAATGTTGGCAAGGGTGCAAAGCAGACAGAATTCTCTTACACTAATGGTGGAAATGTAAAATGAAACAACCACTTTGGAAAATCATGGTTTTTTTCCCCTAAAAGTTAACCATATTCCTACCATAAAACACAATCACTTTTCTCTTGATCATTTATCACAAACAAAAAATGAAAGCATATGTCCACATGAAAACATTTATATGAACATCCATAGCAATTTTATAATAACCAGAAGCAAACTAAATGTCCAACTGATGAATTAATCAACAAATTATGACATATCCATATCATGGAATACTATCCAGTAAAATAAAAGAAATAAAGTATTGATATATACAGTGATATGAATGAATTAAAAAATAATCTTCTGAATGAAAGAATTCAGGAAAATGATTCTATTTATGTAAAATTTTAGAACAAATTCACTATACCGACAGAAAATAAACCAGTACTTGTCTAGACAGTGAAAGAGGAAAGAAGAGAAGGATTGTAAAAAGATATGAGAAAACTTCTAGGGGTTGTATCGATGTGTACTCATAGGATTTCAATGGAACAACACAGAGAAGCCAATACCATTGAAAGAAAAATTTATCACATTTCCCAAGAGAATCGGGCAAACACAACACACAGGGTTACATGCGAAGCATCAGGTTTGGTCAGGGGCAGGAGGAGGAGAAAGCCTTTACTGGTGATCTGTGGCAAAGGCAAGGCAGGATAGGTGAGAGACTTGGCACTGTTTAAAGAATCTTATGCTCTTTGGTGCATAGGGTCTATCCCTATTTGCCCGCAATGTGGCCTGGGTTGGTTTAGAGTAGGGGAAATATTAGCTTGGTATGTGAGAGTTAGGTAAGGAGTTGCTTCAAAGTATGGGCTGTAGATCATAGGGGAAATGCCAACAACTTGACCATTATTTGACCCTGTAATTAATGGATGCCAAGTAGACATATAGAATTTGAGAACACACAGTTAGATGGAAATGTTAATTATATTTGTTGGTGGTCTTAAAGTTATGTCGAAACTCATCAAACTGTATATCAATTACATCTTAATAAAGCCATAAAAATTTTAAACAAAATAAGAGAAATACAATGTACAAATTATTAAAAAATAGAGAAAAAATAATATTCTTAACCAATATCAATATAATATAGGATCATAATATTGCAAATTATATTATATTTTGTTAATGGTAATTAATATTATTAATAATTACAACAAAACATTTTAAGTAACAAATGCTAAATGATTTCCACTAGCTAGGCACTGTAAGAACTTTATCTCATTTAATGCCCACAATAACCCTATGAAGAGTTACTCACATTATATTTGGAGTTTTCAGTAAAAGGTCAAAGATTTATACAATCTGAAGAAAAACCAATTAAGTTTTCAGAGTTTTTATACTTGAGAAGACTGAGATATAGATAAATAAGGAAATTCCTCTGGGATCTGCACAGGTGCATGGAAGAGTAAAGATTAGGACTCAGGTGATCTGGCACATGATTTTAACCACCACAGCAGAGATGAATTAAATCCACCTGCAAAGTAATTTTAAAAATAGTCATGTTGCTTACAAGTGACACTCCTCAAAATTATGCCATACATAGAACTGGAAAAGAAACGTATTGAAATATAGCTCACTGAGAACAATAGTACTAACAGAAGGCAAGACTCAACTAGAGGCAAAGAACATCTGAAGAGAGGATGTGGAACACTCCACTACAGTCTAGAGCACAACCCCTACAGAGATGTGACAGTCATCAACCAGCATATTTGTACACACAGCTTTAAAACGTGTAAAGCGGGGTCTGGTGCTGTGGCGTACTAGGTAAATCCACGTCCTGCAGTACTGGCATCCCATAGTGCCGGTTAGAGTCCCGGCTGCTCCATTTTTTATCTAGCTCTCTGCTTTGGCCTGGGAAAGCAGTAAAGATGGCCCAAGTGCTTGGGCCCCTGCAACCTGCGTGGGAGACCTGGAGGAAGCTCCTTGCTCCTGGCTTCAGACTGGCACAGCTCCAGCTGTTGCAGACATTTGGGGAGTAAACCAGCAGAAGGAAGACCTCTTTCTCTTTCTCTGCCTCTGCCAATCTGTAACTCTGATTTCCATGTAAATAAATAAATCTTTTAAAAAAGATTAAGCAATAACTGAGATAAAATATGCTGGGATAAATAAGTCCTGAAAATTACAGCATTTTTAAAAAAATGTGTAAAGTAAAGCCAGATCAAACTATACAGAGAAATTATTATACAGAGAGATTTTTAACACACCTTTATAAGGAATTAATTAAGCAAACTTTAGGAAGAACTTTTTAAATGAGAACATTCGCAGCAAAGCCTAAAATATTTATCTGACCCTTTATAGATGAATTTTTCCAGTCCCTGCTAGAGATCTGTGAAAATAAATGATCTTCAGTGACAGGTATGGATATAAATAAATCCTACCAAAATTTTCAGAGAAAAATTTAAGCTGTAGGATATGTGCAGTCTGATGCTTTTTAAATTTTTTATATATTACCATATTTTTAAAGCATTAAAAATTTTTGATTAACAGTAATTGTACAAATTTAGGGAGTACAGTGTGAACTTTCAATACATGTATGAAGTGTCAATGATCATATCAGGATAATTAAGATACTATTATGTGAAGTTCTAAAACATACAAAATAGTATTATATATTCTTTACAGATTTTAGCATGCATAGCATTTTTTTAAATTTTCAAATGACTTTATTTCAGGTATTTGGCAGTCATCTGTTTCAGAGTGTTGTTTTGTTTTTTGTTTTTGTTTTTGTTTTTGGACAGGTAGAGTTAGAGAGAGAGAGAGAGAGAGAGAGAAAGGTCTTCCTTTTTCCATTGGTTCACTCCCCAAATGGCCACTACGGCCGGAGCACTGTGCCAATCCGAAGCCAGGAGCCAGGTGCTTCCTCCTGGTCTGCCGTGCGGGTGCAGGAGCCCAAGCACTTGGGCCATCCTCCACTGCCTTCCCGGGCCACAGCAGAGTGGAAGAGGAGCAACCGGGACTAGAACCCGGTGCCCATATGGGATTCCAGTGCCACAGGCAGAGGATTAGCCAAGTGAGCCACGGCGCCAGCCAATACATAGCATTTTAAAACATGCATAAGAATGATAACTATCAATTCTTGGTAGTGGTGATCACTGAAGAGGGAAAAAGAAAGGGTTAAGGAAGATACAGGATATTTCCACTGTGTGAATCCTGCTTTATTGCTTAAAACAAATACTAGAGTATATATAGCAGCAGGTTCAGTAAAGCTTGGCACTAATTGCCACATCCTCTGTATGTTTATAATTTCATGCTGAAAGGTCCATTTAATTAGAGGATATGGGAAGTAGGAAGTGGGGAAGGAAATTATAGACCATTCTTTCAGGGAACGATGCAGGAAACAGTGGAGCGCTACCTGATTAGAAGTCACTGTTAGAGTATCAAATTCTTGCTGTAAGGGGTTTCATGATGGCAAATTTTTAAATTCTCATTATTGCTTACTTTTGAAAGAACTAATCATTTCATCAGCAACACCAGTGAATAACTTGTGCACCACTATCATGATTACATCTATGTAATTTTCTTTTGGATTTTACCTTAGTCTATTAGTACTACTATAACAAAATGCATGAGATTCGGTAATTTATAGAGAACAGAAATTTACTACTTAGACTTCTGAAGGTGGAGAGTCCATAATCAAGGTGTCAAATGGGTGCCCATTGAGAGCTGCTCTCTGCTTCCAAGCTGGTGTCCTGTTGTGTTCTCACATGGTGGAAGGCACAGGGCAAGAGCAGATGAATGCTGTGCCTGCCACGTGTGGTAGAAGGGTAGAAGATCAAAAGAACAAAAAGAAAGGAGAGAGAGAGCAAGAGCGAGAGCGCGAGAGAGTGCTAAGCTAGTTCCCTCCAGCCCTTTTATAAGATTTTAATCCATCCTTGAGGACAGAGCTCTCATGACTTAATCACTTTCCAAAAGACCCACCTCTTGATACCATAACAATGGGGACTAAGTTGAAGCACATGACTGGAGAAATATTCAGCTCATAGTAGGTTATAGTCAAATGTTCTCCTTGTTAAAGATAGCTCGCTGTTGCCTTTCTATCCAACACGTGGTTGAGAAATGTCTGCTCCTCACCAGAGACCTTCCAACTTGTCCATTGAATAAATGCTGGCATATGAACAAGAAAAATCACATCTGAACACTAAAACTCTCCTTAGAGTCTTAGAGTGCAGAGCAAATAACATACCTACTCTGCTTCTGATCCAGCTTCCTGATAATGCTTTGTGGGAGGCAGCAGATAATGTGAAGAAATTTTTATATAAAGAAATAAAGTTAAAATAAGCACCAAAAACTGGCATTCCATAGGAAAAGAAGTTGTAAAAAGATTGTAAGTCCCCAGCCAGATGTTATGGTATGTTCTCTGATAGTTTATGGATGGTCTCAGTGGATGATCATACAGCTGATGGAACAGTGGATCTCTACCTCTGTGAGCAACTTCTCAAGTCCCCATATAGCTGCCCATGTCCCTCCCAAAGGACCAACATAGAGCAATGGCCCATTTCACTTGGCTTAGTTGACAGCAGTGTGATTTTGATAAGATTAAGAATGTGTATTTCTGGGCCAGTGCTGTGGCACAGCAGGTTAATGCCCTGGCCTGAAGTGCCAACATCCCATATGGGGGCCGGTTCGAGACCCTGCCACTCCACTTTCCATCCAGCTCTCAGCTATGTCCTAGGAAAGCAATGGAGGATGGCGCAGGTTCTTGGGCCCCTGCACCCACGTGGGAGACCCGGAGGAATCTCCTAGCTCCTGGCTTCAGATTGGCGCAAATACCGCTCTGTGTGTGTGTGTGTGTGTGTGTTTGTGTAACTCTTTCAAATAACTAAATAAATCTTTAAAAGAAAATGTATCTTGGCCGGCGCTGTGGCTCAATAGGCTAATGATTCGCCTGCAGCGCCGGCACCCCGGGTTCTAGTCCCGGTCGGGGCACCGGATTCTGTCCCGGTTGCTCCTCTTCCAGTCCAGCTCTCTGCTGTGGCCCTGGAGTGCAGTGGAAGATGGTCCAAGTCCTTGGGCCCTGCACCCCATGGGAGATCAGGAGAAGCACCTGGCTCCTGGCTTTGGATCAGCGCGGTGGGCCTGGCAGCAGCACGCCGGCCGCAGCAGCCAATGAGGGGGTGAACCAACGGAAAAGGAAGACCTTTCTCTCTTTCTCTCTCTCACTGTCCACTCTGCCTGTCCAAATAAAAATAAGTGTCTTTCTTTTAACCCTGGTTCCAAATTCAGTCCTAGCCAGCCCAAAGAGTTCTTAGTAATAACAGGAAAGATTTCTCTTATGAAAACCAGCAAATCAGCATCCCCAGCTCTGGTTACTGCAGTGTGCTTGTGCTGCCTGTGCTCTGCCCAGTTTCTCCTGGCAGACTCCTTCCCTGTGGGCTGTGTCCTAGCCAGAGGTTCACTTAGCAAGAATGCCGAATGTGTCAGTTTGGAGAAAGAACTGCTGTTTTTTGAATGCATAAACCTCACCTGGGGGCTGGCACAGTGGCATAGTAGGCTAAGCCTCTGCCTGCATCCCATTTGGGCTCCGGTTCAAATCCTAGCTGCTCCACTTCCAATCCAGCTCCTGCTGGTGGCCTGAGAAACTGGTGGAAGATGGCCCAAGAGCTTGGGCCCCTGCTCCCACATGGGGGACCTAAAAGAAACTCTTGGCTCCTGGGTGCAAATTGTCGTACCCCTGGCCATTGTGGCCATTTGAGGAGTGAACCAGTAGATGTAAGAACTCTCTCTCTCTGTCTCTCCTTCTGTAACTCTGCCTCTCAAATAAATAAATAAATCTGAAAATAAAACCCATACCCTGTATTTTCTCAGTGGTTCAATGTGACCATACCACAGCCATTTGAGTACAGTGAAATTATCAATTCCAGTACTGCATCCCTTCACCCCCAACAAAGGACTTTTCTTTTTCCCAAGGATTTATGCCTCAAAATGGGCTCAACAATATGCTGTCACCACAGCTTAGTAGCATTTGTGAGTCTGTTCATAGAATAGTTTGCTCTACAGGGCCGGCGCTGGGGTGCAGCAGGTAAAGCCACCGCCTGGGGTGCCGGCATCCCATAGGGGCACCAGTTTGAGACTTGGCTGCTCTACTTCTTATCCAGCTCTCTGCTGTGGCCTGGGGAAGCAATAGAAGATGGCCCCTGCCCCCATGTGGAAGACCTGGAAGAAGCTCCTGGCTCCTGGTTTCAGATCGGCGCAGCTCCGGCCGTTGCGGCCATCTGGGGAGTGAACCAGTGGATGGAATACCTCTCTCTCTCTCTCTCTGCCTCTCCTCTCTCTGTGTAACTGTGACTTTCAAGTAAAATAAATAAATGTAAAAAAAAAAAAAACCAATAGTTTGCTCTAACATAATTAGAGTCTGTGCAGAACAGATAAGAATTTTGACTTAGAGTCAGAAAATTCAGCTCAAATCCCTCTTTGTTGTCTACTCTCCAGATAACCCTGAGCACATTCTTCACCTTTCCACTCTTAGATTCCTCTCCTGTGATATGGCAATGATTACTGTACTGACTGCTTCACTGATTGTAGTTGTGTTAAAATGAGATAAAGGGAATCAAAACTATGTTGTAACCTGTAAAGTTTATGTAAACATAAGTCATTTCTAATCTGCTACTAAAAAGTTCTGAACACTTCGCAACTCAGCAAAACTGATTTTCTTGAGACCATGGAATCACAGAACATAGACAATAATTGAAATGCCTTAAATTTTGTAGAATTCCATTCAACATATTCACCTATAGAAATAATTTATAATAGGTAGTTTCTATTTAAATGATTGTTTACTTTCATCCACTTGAAAAGCAGAATGGTAGTGGGAGAGTGAGAGAGAGAGAGAAAGAAATCTTCCATCCACTGGTTCATTTGCTGAATGCCTGTACCAGCCAGAGCTGGGCCATGCTGAAGCCAGGAGCTCATGTGGGTGGCAGGGGCCCAAGTACTTGAGCCATTATCTGCTGCCTCCCACAAAGCATTACCAGGAAGCTGGATCAGAAGCAGAGTAGTTAGTACTGGAACCAGCACTCTTATATGGGATGCGGGCGTCTCAAGCGGTGGCTTAACCCATTGCGCCATAATACGCACCCCTAATTAGTTTATATGTACTGCATCATAATGTGTTTTATAGCACACATTTTCTCTTTGATACTCACAATTATTCTGTGAGGTGGGTTTATTATTGCTATCTTACAGATGTGGAAATTGAACCACAGAACAATAAAATGGCTTGCCCAGGGCCACATAGCCAGTAATCGGTAGAACTGCAATTTAACGTGAGCCTTCCCAATTCTACTAGGTCCTTCCAACTACACCACACTCTTTTTCAAAGTATTCACTAGTCCATCATTTTAGAACAAGAATTTACCAGAACAAATAGGACTAATTAATTCAAGCTCTAAGGAGTAGGAAACTACTTTCCTAAACGGAGTATTGTGCTTTTATGTATGGAATGATTTTGTTTTGTAACTTTCAGCTGTCAAGAAGGAAGAAGTTCTTGTCTGAACTTTAAATATCTACACTTCGGCATAAGAATGCCTTCAGTATCTAACAGCTCAGGAGGAATTGTCAAAAGAAAGCTAAGGGCTTTCTGTGTCTCCCAGAATCTTCATATATTTTAAACAGCACAGTACCCATTTTGAGCAGTTCTTACAAAGTATCACTCATTCGACCACTCCTTAAAATTGCTGACTCCTTAAAATTGCTGACTAATGGGCCTTCACCATAGCACAGTGGGTTAAAGGCCCTGCCTGCTGGGGCTGGTGCTGTGGCATAGTAGGTAAAGTCAACGCCTGCAGTGCCTGCATCCCATATGGGCGCCGGTTCAAGTCTCGGCTGCTCCACTTCTGATCCAGCTCTCTGCTATGGCCTGGGTAAGCAGTAGAAGATGGCCCAAGTCCTTGGGTCCCTGTACCCACATGGGAGACCCAGAAGAAGCTCCTGGCTTCTGGCTTTGGATCAGCTCAGCTCTGGTCATTGCAGCCATTTGAGGAATGAATCAGCAGATGGAAGCCCTCTCTTTCTTTCTGTCTTTATCTCTCTCTATAACTCTGTCTTTCAAATAAATAAATCTTTTTTAAAAATTGTTGACTGATGATTATGAAAAGGACAAAAATGTTTATCAGACACATTTGAATGTTGTAATCATATGAGAGGGGGGTCTATGTTTTGGGGAAAATCTGATACTCATTGAAGTCGTTGATCAGATTTGAACTCAGTATTTGTTATCTATAGATTGCTGATTCTGTCTCTAATTCAATCAATACAAGACTGAATAATGCTAACATTTAGATCTATCTTGGATTGCAAATGTTTCTGTTTGTGATTTTACAACAATGCCTTGGCATGAGAACAAAACACCACTCTTGAACTCCCTTGAGCTAAAGAATTTTTAGTATCTGGGTACTTCTGGTCTGACTTCACACTACCAGCTTTTATGGCTCTAGATTACAATTATTCCTCACAAGTGAAGCAGTTATTTGATTGGTGGCAAGTTCTGTGGCTACAAGACATTTCTGTTCACGATGTTTTTTTCCTCTTCAGTTCTGCCAAGTGCAAAAGCAGAACAGTGCAGAAACAGCATCTTGTCTCAACACAAGGAGGAATAAAACAAAACAACAGGACAAAGACCGACATACCTCTCAGGCACAGGCGAAAGAACAGAAGTTGAACATCACCTTTTTCATCTATCAAGTAATTATGTCTCGCCCTGCAAGCAGAAGACCAGAATACCATAAAATAGTAAGATCTTTATAAAGAGTTTATTGTGTGTGAATTGCGAAGATTTCTGACTCATTAGAAAGGTGGTACTATAAGTAGAATTTTTAGGTGGAGCAAAGAATTTTAGTGGAAGAAATCATAAATGACACTCTAGGATTAGTAACCATTATCTCTTACATGGTGCAACAGAAAATCAGCTCAGATTGATTTTAGGATCTGCTTTTCTGACTAATGGTGTTTAGAAAAGTGTCAACCTTTTGTCTGTTACAGAAAAAAATGAAAAGATTAAGCAGTCTTTTGTATTTCATATTTCATGAAATAAATGTAATATATATATCATATTATGGATAAATCTGTATAGACATATCACCTAGCAACTAAATATTAAAAACTGCCTTTAAAAATATTTTTTGTCTTGAAATGTAAGTATTTATTATTTTAATTTTGGTAAGCACTCATACATTCCAAGTGCAGAGACATTTTTAAAACTTAATTTTTATAGATTTGATCAGGATATTCTTTAATCATCTTTTACTATTGTTCTAGTCATTGAGGAGTCACAGATATGAAAAGTCATGGTTAAGTTTAAAGTCATGTTAATTATTTAGCAGATGGACATTTGATATAATTAAGTAATTTCATGCTTGGGTACTTAGAGCTGTAGTGACTAACAGGCACACCCCAGTTGGAAATGCCTGCAGATGCCCCCTCTGGCATTCTGGGATGTTGCTTTATTTTTCTGTAGGGCTCTTAAATACTGAAAAATATTATACTTAGGTCACATTGTCCCTGAATCACTTGATATGTGTATAACAGTTAAAACATTTTTATCCTCATATATATCCAAATTCTTGTGAAATAATTGGGGGTGTCACATTTTTCACATGAGAGAATGATTGTTGCTTACTGTTTTGAAAACAATAAAGATAAATTTATATTGGCCTTTCCCAGCATTTATGGTAGGAATTTGAGATTCAGTTAGACATGTAGTTCAAGGCATAGCCCTTGGCCATGAAGCAGAATGGGAAAATGGGCTTTTATGGGCTTTGAACTTGAAAGTAAACTGGAAGTAAAATAGTTTGAAATATACTAGTACCCACCCGAGAAAGAGAGAGAGAGAGAGAGACCACTATTTTAGTTTGGCCTAAATTATAAATTGTGCACAGTGCTGAGGCTATGTCATGTTAGTAGGGTATGATTTTTTTTTCATTTCTCTCTTTTTCAAATCATTTTGTTTTACTTCTAGTGGCATGGAACACATTATTATTCTTTCCTCGCCCCATCCCGTCTCTCTCTCTCCGTCCCCTGTCCCCTCACCCGTGCTTATTTCATGCCATGGGGTTGATGCGTAGCAGTGCTTTTCTGCTGTGCCTTCTTGTGCGTGAAGCAGATGATTCAGTTATAATTTGCAGGTATTTCTTATGATGTATGGTTAGGTTCTTAGAAGATTTAAATAAGAAAGGAATTTAAATTAATACATGGTGACACTCAGCATTTTGTTTAACAATATGTTTACTCATATCACTTGCCTTACACCCTGTTTCCTGCTGAAGATATTAACAAACTCTCATTTTTCTATGTTTGAATTTCATGTACTTCGTGTTCTTTATATAACATCAACTAACAGATTTAATGTACATACATTTATGACATTTTGATTTATATTCTTCCATATAAATTGTGTGCAAATATGCCATATAATATTTAGAGTCTATCCATTCAAAATTCTATCCATTCAAAATATTCTACCTAATGAAGAAACATACCTGTAATGATATAAACCTATACATAGGGACAGCTTTGAAAGCCTATGAAACAAATTGTACATTTTTTTTTGAGCCATTTCTTCCCATGATTTAAAAAAAAAAAAAGAGCACATATTATGAGTACATATTCTCTTTCCTAACATGTTAGGCTTTCTAAAACACACCTAGACAATTCTAACCTGGAATCCACATCTAACCTTCTGTGAAAATACAAGATATGCACAAAATGAAATTTTTTTCAACGGTGGTCCTCTCTTCTACTTCCTGCCTACCCCTACCCACCACTACTCCAGACAGTGCCTTCCTCTACACCTCACAAATAAATACCAGGGCAATGTGGAGGCCTGGATTCTGAGATACCATTCTGGCTCTAACAATTGCTGACTCCGTGGACAAATCACTCCAACCTCCTGAGCCTCATTCTCTCCTCTGTAGGAGCAAGAGCGTTTATTCAAGTTACAACAGTATTATCTAGCAGAAGTAAAAGAAACTTTTAAGAAATGGGTAATTTCAACATATCTGTGCTAAACCCAACCTTAATCATCTTCGGTGTGGGTTTTCATCTATAATTCACACTAAAAAGGGGTAAAATTTGGAGATCTATAAGAAAAGCACAAATTCTTATTTTTCCTCTAATTAAAAGGGGTGGGGATCTTGCAATTACAGCAGGGCTGATCCTCCTTAGATCTGGGACCCATTAGGAATCATGTGGACTCATCAGAAGACTCATCCAATTATGCCTTCCAGCTGAAAACATGATCAGCATATATCAAAAGCCAGCCTAGGAAAATAAGAATTTATATTAGAACTTAGTTTTTTTTTTAAATCCTTCCTTCGTGAAAATATATCACAAGTTATATAATATGAGCATATAATATAATATAAAATGTGTAGAAAGATGTTCTCATGTTAAGAAACATACTGTATTTCACAGCTTTTCTTCCTCACTGTCCAGCATACTTACATATGCATCCAAATGTGAGTGTAGTCTGTTCTCAAAAGTGAAAATTATTGCAATAACAAGATGATGGGGAAAATGAACACATGTTGTCTAAGACTGCTTCCAACCACATTTTGTAAAAAAAAAAAAAAAAGAAGAAGAAGAAGAAAAGGAAAGAAATGCAATGGTATATTTGTGTAACTTTGCCTATAACATAAAACCATCCATTTTTCCCCAGAACAAAGATCTCTTTGTCCTCACATATGGAGCTCTGGTTGCCCAACTATGTAAGGATTATGAAAAAGATGAAGATGTGAACAAATATTTAGATAAAATGTAAGTAGTCTTTCATCCTTGTAGAATGCCTGCTGTTTCCTAACGTCACTTGCATTTTTCCACCTCTAATGACTTCTCTGGCTCTGTTTCATCAGATCCTCTTCTGTTTCAGTGAATCACATCTGAAAGCTGAAACTAATTTCTTATAGCTGCCATTTAGGTTGATAGCATAAAGTAATAGGGAGGAAATTCTTTCCCATGAATACCAAATGTGGAATGTTTTCAGTTAGAAATAATTTCTTTGTCATTTACATGCAAAGAATGAACTAAAACTGAAATTGTAAATTGTTCTTTCAACAGTATGATGGAACACCAAACCTGACTCTTTCCAAAAGTCTTTTTGTTCTAACAGAACCTATTCCAATATAAATACATGCTTACATAAGCTTAGACACCATGTGGAAGGCTATGCAAAGAACTGCCAGAGGTGGTTGCCCAGGAGTGAGACTGGGGATTATGGATCAAAGGAGATTTTCTTTTTCCTACAGAGCGTTTTTTATTTGAATGTTTTTACCATTACTATGCTTCCTTTTAAAAACATTAAATATAAAATCCCACTCCTTCCTTTAAAAAAAAAAAACATTTATTTATTTATTTGAAAGATAGAGTTGCATGCTGGTTCACTCCCCTAATGTTGCAGTGGCCAGAGCTGGGCTGACCCGGAAGCCAGGAGCTTCTTCCTGGTCTCACATGTGGGTGCAAGGGCCCAAGAACTTGGGCCATCTTCTACTGCTTTTCCAGGCCATAAGAGAGAGCTGGATCGGAAGTGGAGCAGCCAGGACTCGAACCGGCACCTATATGGGATGCTGGCGCTGCAGGCAAAGGCTTAGCTCATTGCACTACAGTGCCACCCCCTTCTTCCTCTTTAAATAAAAGCCATCTCCGTGTCTTTGATAATAATGATTGCTCCTACACAAATTCAATCCTTTAATTTTCTCAAAATAATTATATGATCATCAGATTACTGTCAAACAATAAAATATCTGTCAATAGTTTTTGAACCTCTTAATTATGGATCCTGACTAACTGGAAAATATGTACTGGTTAGATTTACTTAGGCAAAGTTGAAAGGGAAATTTAGCCAAGCTTCTTAGAGCTTTTTGGAAAGGTTCATTGTATTTTCAGCTTGAATACTGAAAAAGACAACATGCAGGAAATCTTGAAAGATCTTTTTTTAAATTGTTTTTATTTTTAACTTGTTTTCCTCCTTTTCTAGATGTTTAGTCACCTTTTTGGAAAATTCTTATTTTACATTTCTTCTTAAGCAGTCAGGAGCATTCACTAAAGAGAAAACTGCCCAAGCATTCACCTATGGCTTTGTCAGTTACTTCCTCACCTGAACTTTCTGTAACTGTGGAAGCTGCTAAGGTTATTTTACACTTGGTCACACTTCTGCATCTGACATGGCATTTCCAGAATTTACTTCATTTTATTTTACCTGTGCCAAATTTGCATTGTTTTCTGGAACAGCTGTAGAAAATAAAGAAGCTCATCTACTTGACTAAAACGAAAAGCTAAACATTAATTAAACATTAAAAAGTAAACTTTGGGCCAGCACCTCAGCTCACTTGGCTAATCCTCTGCCTGCGGCGCCGGCACCCGGGTTCTAGTCCCGGTCGGGGCGCCAGTTCTGTCCCAGTTGCTCCTCTTCCAGGCCAGCTCTCTGCTGTGACCCAGGAAGGCAGTGGAGGATGGCCCAAGTGCTTGGGCCCTGTACCCGCATGGGAGACCAGGAGGAAGCACCTGGCTCCTGGCTTCGGATCAGCGCAGCACACCGGCTGTAGCAGCCATTTGGAGGGTGAACCAACGGAAAAAGGAAGACCTTTCTCTCTGTCTCTCTCTCACTGTCTGCCCGGCGAAAACTAAATTAAATTAAAATTGACTTTTGAGAGCTGCATGACAACTTGCCTTATGAAAAAAATAGTTCCCATTGCATTTTCTGAATATATCTTTTCTTATTTTTTTTTTGACAGGCAGAGTGGACAGTGAGAGAGAGAGACAGAGAGAGAAAGGTCTTCCTTTGCCGTTGGTTCACCCTCCAATGGCCGCCGCTGCAGCCGGCGCACCGCGCTGATCCTGGCAGGAGCCAGGAGCCAGGTGCTTTTCCTGGTCTCCCATGGGGTGCAGGGCCCAAGCACCTGGGCCATCCTCCACTGCACTCCCTGGCCATAGCAGAGAGCTGGCCTGGAAGAGGGGCAACCGGGACAGAATCCGGCGCCCCAACCGGGACTAGAACCCGGTGTGCCGGCGCCGCAAGGTGGAGGATTAGCCTATTGAGCCACGGCGCCGGCTCACATTTGCATTTCTTTAATAGCTTCTACTGAGAAGCTGAAGTAAGACCCTATTTTCTCAACTATTCTTATAAATTCTTATAAGACAGAGATACCGCAGTTTGTATCCCTTGCAAAAATTTGGTAGGCTTTTCTCGTTCCAGGAATTGGCTTAGCCATCTTAGCCACATACTCAGCTGTATTATCACATCTCAGGAAAAGGCTTACTGAATTTGCTTCAGGTTCTTCAACTCTTTTCTTGGAGTAGAATTACTATGATATAAATTTCTACCCCTCAAGTCCCATAGCTTGAGTGTTTCTGTAATGAAAAATGCATTTTTTGAACTTGACTTTTTATTCCCAGGAAACTTCAGGGACCTAACTGCTGAAACTTTTACTGGCAACAGAACAACTATTTCTCTGTTCCCTTCTTGCCCTCCTTTTAGAGCCCATCCTGGAAATGCCTGCCTTCCCACTGTGATAGCTGTGTCAAGAGAAGAATGAGCATCAAGTACCCTCCTGTAGCAGACAAGTTAGCTACACTCTCATTCTGTTTCTGTCCATGGCAAATGATGACAAAATTAATTGCCAATGAAAAACACTGGGCTGCGGACACCAGTCTTTTTAAATTTTAGTTTACAGTGTCAGGTTTAGTTCAATTTCTTTTCCAGCCACACTCCTCTGTTTGTATGGGGACCAGTTTCTATTTCTCTGCTTCTGCAGTTTTTTCAGTGTCAAAAGTCATTTGACTTGTCACACTTGGTTTAATTTGTTACCTGCTTGTGCAAGTGCTAAACATATGGAGCCATTCTTAAACATTGATAGACTTCATTAATTACCAAGGCATTATTTTCAGACCACATTCTCCTTAATCCACAGGGGTTATGGCATTGGAACACGGCTGGTAGAAGACTTTTTGGCTCGATCCTGTGTGAGAAGATGCCACAGTTACTCAGAAATTGCAGACATAATTGCCCAGGTAATTGCATTTTTGGCTCTGTCAGTGTGTTTGAAAAATCTTTGATTCTTTCTGAGTTTGGTGGCTTTCTGCTCTGATTGGACAGGTTCCATCTCTGTATGGTATTAGATGCTGAGAGAGGGGATTCTAATTGAAAAGCATTTTATTTATGCACACAGATAAAGCTATTGTGAACTGAAAGAAAAATATTTCCAAGCATTTCAGCATCTATAGATTTTCCTGACTACATGCTGGGTGTGGAGTATATATCTCACAGCGGGGAAAACATTTTGGGAAGGTTAACAGAAGGGGATTATAATACAGTAACATTTTAATGTGCATGCTCCAAACCAACTTCTTCACATAGCTGTTTTCAGCTCAAGGAAGGGGATAGTCTTTGGCACTATAAGAGAATGTTATTGTAGTCATTCCCAGAGGAGCATTTTCCAGAGAGAAAAATAGAGCTTCCTGTAAATGCATGCACTCTAAGATGTTTCATTGCTCTGATACATGAGAAAACGTGAACTCATCCAGGACCAGCTCAGATTTCTTAGATACACGAATGGGAAATAGATCTTTAGCCAGCATTTCTTTAATCTGCAAGCATATGGTTATTTACATAGTATTTTTAATTTGTGGAAGAAACCATGTTCAAGTTTGAGATATTTAGGAGAGCGTGGTAAGTCGCCTCCAGGTTCTCACAACTGACCAGTTAAGTCACTTGCATTCTTTTCTCTGATCCATAATATTATTAAACATGGCCAAACTGACTCTTCACATGAGTGGTTGTTAATACCACTCACGTAGTGCTTTGTGGTTTTAAATGTCTTTTATTCTCACAGTAACTCCCTGAAGTAGACAGATAAGAAAATTTAAAATGATGAAAATTGAATAATAGTACATGTGAAAAAATGTACAATCCAAATGAAAGATTTTTCAAATATTGATATTATTACTTTTGTTATTTCATGCTGGTGAATTGCATGGTTGAAATTGGAAGCAGGTGTCCTCCAGTCTTAGGCAATGAGTTTATCATAGCACTGAACAGTTAAAAAAAATAAACAGTCCTTTCAATATTGGCAAAATGTAAATAAGATCCTGAAGTAGTTGTTTGAAAAAAAAAAGCAAAATAATTTTTCACTGAAGCAATTCTTTTTATTTTTAAATATTTATTTATTTGAAAGGCAGAATTAGAGAGAGAGGCAGATACAGGGAGAGAGAGAAAGAGAGAGAGAGAGAGAGTCCATCCCCAAATTGCTGTAATGACCAGGGTTGGGCCAAGCCAAATCCAGAAGTTAGGATCTTCATCCAGGTCTCCCAAGGGAGTGCAAGGATCCAAGCATTTGGGCCAGCTGCTGCATTAGCACGGAGCTGGACTGGAAGTGGAGCAATAGGGACTCCAAATGGCACCCAAATGGGATGCCAGAGTTGCAGGTGATAGCTTAATCTGCTATGCCACAAAGTGGGCCCCAGAAACAACTCTACAGGCAATGCTACAAGAACACTGGCTGCTTAAATGGAAAGCAAATAGCTGAAATATACAAGTGGAAATGGTTGAGGTTTGTTGAATTTCTAGCTGGTGGATCCCCTGGGCCTTTTGGTTAGAAAGACCCAGTCTCCTTGTAATTCACATATGCATTTTAATCACAAAAATAAAAGGAATCTAGGTTTCTCTGGTGGGAACAAAGTCAGTATGAACAATAACTTTTATTAGTATCATTAACCTCAAAATACTACCATGCAAATTGTTGAAATCTTTACATAGTATATAGTTGGTCTTCTGTATATAAAGGTAATTAAAAATTAATCTTAATGAAGAATTGAATGGGAAAGGGAGTAGAAGATGGGACGGGAGTGGGGAATGGGAGGGCGGGTATCAGGGGAAGAACTGCTATATTCTAAAAGCTGTACCTATGAAATTTATATTTATTAAATAAAAGCTTTCTAAAAAAAATAGCTACCAACAAATATTCTGTAACCATACATCCTGGAGGGGCTAAGACAACTGGAAGTCTCCATCAGACTTCCTGGTTACCTATGGCTCTCACCCCAGGTATCTTCGACGACTTATTATCTCCAGGGAAAATAGAAAGCTAAAAGCCCAAGTAAATAGGCCAAGAAGAAGTTCATGTTTATTTGGGGACCAATACAAGACTTGTTACTTTGTAATATTCAACAAAATAAGAAGGGCAGAAAGGAAAAGAGGAAGGGAAAGAGATGAAAAGGAAGAGGGGGCTGGTGCCGCGGCTCACTTGGTTAATCTTCCACCTGCTGGGCCAGCACCCTGGGTTCTAGTCCCGGTCGGGGCACCGGATTCTGTCCCAGTTGCTCCTCTTCCAGTCCAGCTCTCTGCTGTGGCCCAGGAAGGCAGTGGAGGATGGCCCAAGTGCTTGGGCCCTGCACCTGCATGGGAGACCAGGAGGAAGCACCTGGCTCCTGGCTTCCGATCGACACAGTGCACCGGCTATTACGGCAATTTGAGGGGTAAACCAATGGAATAGGAAGACCTTTCTCTCTCTCTCTCTCTCTCTCTCTCTCTCTCTCTCTCACTGTCTAACTCTGCCTGTCAAAAAAAAAAAAAAAAAAAGAATGGAAGGAAGAAAGAAAATAGAAAAGGAAGAGGGGAGGGAGGAGGAAGAAGGAATGAAAACAATCTTTTGCTCAGGCCCCTTGGGAAGAGAGCTGTTCCTGCTCAGATAAGGGACTCCTTAAGTCCCTTCCTAGAGAATCTGTACATGTTACCTGACAATGAAGTCTTCAGTGCGCATAAAAAGGACAAGAGCTCTTTCTATGTACCTGACTGAAGAAGCAAAAGTTGAAGAAGAACCTGGTGCTTAAGAGAGTAAAGGGATTCATATCTCAGATGGCGATATCATCTCTCAATTAAGGCATCAGTAAAATGGGCTAATGATAGATGTCCTTTTCACTTCACAAGGTTCCTGGAAGGCAAACGTAGATAATAGGTGAACATTCATGAATATTCATGAAGAAGATTTCTGTATGCTTAAAGTTTTTCAACACATGTTAAAATGCTAACAACTTTTATAATTTAGTACAGCTTATTTAGTATCTGTAATTGTATTTTGAGTCAGCTACCACAAAAAGTAAACTTGGATATGATAAAATCACATTTTAAAAATGGAGAGGTGGCAGGCATTTGGGAACGAGGTTAAATGCCACTTGTGACACCCACATCCCATGTCAGTGTGTCTAGTTTCGAGTCCCGCCTCTGCCTCCCACCCAGCTTCCTGGTAATGCACAGCCTGGGAGATAGCGGGTGATTGTGCAAGTACTCGAGTTGCTGCCACCCACATGGGAAACCTGGATTGAGTTCTGGCCTTTAGCCTGGCCCAGCCCAGGCTGTTGCAGGCATCTGTAGAATGAACAAACAAATGGAAGATCTGTCTGCCTCCGTTTTTCAAATAAAATTAAAATAAACAAATAAACCTTACAAACTGTATATATTTTAATGTTGCAAGAAGTTGACTTTGGAATTAACTTGTTATCTATTTTCTACATACAAAGTCAGGCACACTAGAAATAATTTCCATTAATGATTTGGCCTCTGTCATTGGATTTCTTTTCAAACCACTAGGTGGCAGAATTTGAGGCATAATGCCTGTTAAAAAGAGAGACCTAATGACAGAGTGACCTCCTCTCTGGAAAAACAAAGTGAGGAAAACAAGAAAGCAGGGAGCTATTCGTACTGAGTGATCCAGTGCTCCTCTCCCAAAAGTGTGGAGCGCAGAGTGAAGTCAAGTTCAGGAGGCCCTGTTCCTACCTGCGGTCTTTTACTAACTTTTACTAACTTCTGTGTGAAGCAGTTCTCCATCCAGTCAATTCTCTTCAATTTCTTCCTTCCTTCCTTCCTTCCTTCCTTCCTTCCTTCCTTCCTTCCTTCCTTCCTTCCTTCCTTCCTTCCTTCCTTCCTTCCTTCCTTCCTCTTTCTTTCTCTCTCTCTCTCTTTCTTTCTTTCTTTCTTTCTTTCTTTCTTTCTTTCTTTCTCTTTCTGTCTTTCTCTTTTCTTTCTCTTTCTTTCTCTGTCTTTCTCTTTCTTTCTTTCTCTCTTTTTCTTTCTCTCTTTATTTTTATTTCTCTTTTCTTCCTTCTATCCTTTCTTCTTTCTTCTGCAAGAAAACACATCCACTATTACTATTAACTTTGCAATAGTTTAAGTCCTTGAGAGGTACGTCAAACAGATTCTGTGTCCAATGGCCTTCCCAGGAAAGTTGTTTTGGAATTTGGTATGAACCATGCCTCTGTTTCCATGAGCACAGGTTACCTTTCCCAGCCTACTCTGATTTTGTTAGGATCCCTGTCAGGGGTCAGTGTGTTGTTTGTTGCTTTGTTCAGATAAGCACAGCTCTTGGCCAAACAGAATTCAGTTTCATCTGAGGCATAACCATCTTCAATTTTTAATTTTGGAAACCTTGCTTTAGCCAGCAAAAACAACCTGCACCACAATCTTCCAGACATACTTTATTTTAGAAGCCCTATTCCCAGGAGGCCCCCACAGGCTTAAATATGGCAGAGAGCTCTAAGGCCTTCTCTTTCCCTGTTTCCCAGGACAGAGGTCATGAGTTCTGTGGGTGCTCAGTACTTGAGAAAGGTAATGACAGCACTCTGGTTAAGTCCAGGGCCTTCTGAGAGAGCAAACGAAATGTGCAATCTCCATGTTCTGCTCCTCTGCTGTGCTCTGAAGATAGCAGACAACAGAAAACCTCTTGCGACTTTGCCCAGGTTCACTGTAAAACTGACCTGTGACATTTGACATCTGCCCATGTGAGGAATTTACAAGCACTAATGACATAATGCTGCCGAAGGCCAGACCTTTTAATGAAAGTTAATTACAAGCATAACACCAGTGGGTGGGTATCTAACTAAAGTATGACCCTTAATCTGTGTCAGAATGCATCTGAAATGGTGACATCATTGCCACATGTCAAAGAGCATGCTGAAGTGAAAATGATTAAGAGGATGGAATCGGGACATTTTAAAGAAGGGGCTAACACTAGGCAACAATCACTCTGCAAGAAAGAAGGAAAAAGGTAATAAAATGCTCTTTTCATAGGCAAGAAACAATCTTGCATAAAAGCCAAAGTGGATCTTTTTCATCTCATTGAGTTCAGGAAACAGAGCAAAGAGAAAAATTTTGTAGTTGCTGTAAATGAAAGTATGTAATTGGTAGTAGAGTTACCACAGCAGATCTCAGTTATAGTAATAAATATTAGAGAAGGTAACTGTTATTTACAGACCTGTATATATTTCCGTTTATTTTATTCCTTTGTATATATATAGATACACACTATATATATATATATACACACTATATATATATATATTCCATGTAGACTTATGACAAAACATTTTTATTATGAGAAGCTAATCAGAGGTAAACTTGATCATTTAAATCAGTTTGTTTATAAGGGCTGGACTTGACAAGAAATATTATGATATTGGCTATGATATTGGCTTTTAAAGTAATTTAACCACAAAGAGCTATGATCCTCATCAGAAGAAGACCAGTAACATCATCTCGTCCAGTGAAGTGATGATTAAAAGAAGACTCCATAACACGCTCTGCTACATTCCCACCCTATCACCAGGAGCAAGTGGTTTAGACAGTGGGAGGCTCAGTTTCCACATTCATCAGATGCGATGTCTTTCAGTTGTAGTTCTCCTAGTTTCCAGATAGTGCTTTCCCTAAATAAAATCTGGACACGAAATCAAAGTCAAAAATAGCTGAGTGTGGTGGGTGGGTGTGGCTTCCTAAGACTCCCTAGAACATCCATACCTTCTAGTTACTGGCAATTTTTATAGCTGCTTAGCCTTGCACAAATTCTGTTCATCAAAGTTGAGAAAGTTTCTTCCTGCAGACTCAATGTCAATCTGGTAGCGGTTCTAAGGGGTGTAGAGGGAATCTATCACTTTTCAAGGTAAATATCACACCACTGGTGTTGTCACAGTAAGAGATTTTTTAAAAAGAGGAAAAATACAATAGAAAAAAGCCTTGTAAAATGTGAAACTCTGATAGGTTTAAAAAATGCAACCCAATATACTGTTCTTGTTGGAAATTTGGGAAAGTAAATGTGAGATCTTTTCTTTTTATAGTATAAACTGACATTTTGTCTTAATTAAATGAGTAATTTTTTTGAGTGATATAAAATTAATGAAATATTTGAAAGGAAATGTTCAGAGGAGGCAATATAAATTGAGATGCCTAAAGCAAGGGAGCAATTAGTGGTGAATGTGGTAAGCACAAACTCTAGGACAAAAAATTGGGGACATAATCCAGAGAGGAATCTGAATGACAGAGGGAAATCATTTTTTTTCCTTTACTGGATGAGTCATTTTATTAGAACACCACAGTCAACCTTTTCTACTACTGATCTCCTATATATCATGGGCCACTTTGACTAGAATTAACTCTACACAGAAGAATTCCAGTAAATCATACCAGTTATATTTTTTAAAATCATGCTTCTGTTCTGAATGTATGAGATTTCTATGACCAAACCTATTTGAGGAATTCAAACATTTTGAAACTAGAACTCTGGAGTCAGAATTTTAGAATTTTTGGAATGGAGATAGTACCATGGTCATAGAATCCCAAAGGGGCCTGCATTGTGGAATTGCAGGTTAAGCCACTACCTGAAGTGCCAGCATTCCCATATGGATTCCAGTTCAAGTCCCAGCTGCTCTACTTCTGATCTAGTTCCTTGCTATGTGCCTGTGAAAGCAGCGAAAGAAGACCTAAGTCCATTTGCCCCTGCCACCCACATGGGAAACTAGGAAGAAGCTCTTGACTCCTGGCTTCGGCCTGGCCTAGGGCTGGCCATCGCAGCCATTTGGGGAGTGAATCAGTGGATAGCAAATATCTCTCTCTGTCTTTCAAATAAATAAATAAATAAATCTTTTCTTTAAAAAAAAGAATTTCAACCTCCAGTACAGATTTTTACTTAGAAACATTTATTGGACATTTCAACATGAACATCAAAATCTGGGTATTAGACATTTTCAGAAAGGATGACCATGGCTTGGAAGGCAAACCAGTGAGTGTCCGATCGATAGGCATAAACAACACAATAACCATTTCAACAAAAAAGTTGAATTTAAAAACTGTTAACTATTTTCAGAGTATTGGGTACTAAGGAAAGAAAGAACGAAAGGAAAGAAAGAAGGAGAGAGAGGGACAGAGAAGAGAGGGAGGGAGGGAGGAAGGAAGAAGGAGGAGGAGAAGGAAAAGGAGAAGGATTAAGCAAAAGAATATAGGGCTGAGAGAGAATACCCAAAGAAGGAACACATTTTGAAGGCTGGAGTTCAAATCTCATGGGAGAAGTGTGATTACAGACCATGGATGGTGTAGGAAGTCAGTGGATCTCCAGGCTAAGAATAATGGGAAGAGAGTTCTAGGTCAACATTGGCAAGCAGGAAACCTGCAACTAGAGTGCAAGGATGTTGAGACTGGCCAGTGAGACGGGGCCTGAATTGACAAATTGGAAGGAAGGACTACAGGACACACCTTGTGTTGCCATCACCATCCACAGCAGGAGCAAATCAAGCAGAAGCACACTAGACCCAAAAGAGAAGCCTCTTCTTCCTGCACTGTCCCTACAGTACTTTCCAGTGGTGAAAGAGATATATTTGCATGGTCTAGCTCCAACATCACATGCAGGGCAATGAAGAGTGGGTTCTGAGCTGGTAGGCAATCATCCAACAAGTATGACAGACATAGCTGCTCTGATTGTTATTTACATTTCTATGGACATTTTCTTTCACTTCCACGACCTCATATTTGACCCTATCCCATCTGCTTGACCACACCAAAACTATTCTTGGTTCTTGGAACAATTCCAGTTGGCAGGTGGAAGGAGCAAAGGAAGCCATATTCTTGTCTTGCTACAGTGGGGTCAGTTTCCTGCAACTGATAACACAAAATAGACTGCAGAGTAGAATTTTTTTTCTTTTAAAAAAACCTTGTTTTTGTTTGAGAGGCAAAGAGATAGCTTCCATTCTCTGGTTGTCTCCCCCCAATCCCACAATGATCACTATTGCAGCTGAAGCTATGATCCAAGAGCACAATCAAGATCTCCCACTTGGGTAGCACAAACCCAATTACCTGAGCCATGGCCTGATTCTTCCCATGGATTGCGTTAGCAGGAAGCCAGAGTCTGGAGCCAAAGCTGGGTGACATACCCAGGTACTCCTCCAGTATATGGGATGCAGCCATCTTAACTAGTGTCTTAACCAATAGGCTAAACACTAATTCTGAAAAGCATAATTTTCAATGTGCAAACTTTTAGCCTCAAATAAAAATTTTATGTTAAACACTGTGAAATTAATCAAACACATAGACACTTCCTCTTTTTTCTACAAATTTCCTCAACTCTCATAACCAAATTTGTCTCTCTCTCAATCACTCACATAACTGTGAAATGTACTATTTTAATACTACTAGAGGTGCTGTTAAATGACACTATGATAAAGAACCTCAGAATACTGATGACCAATAAGTTGTACTGTTGTCTCTGTAAATACAAGCAAGTGACATGGACAGTACAGGACATTGGCACTTAAGCAACCACCTTGTGAAAGGTAGAGAGAGAACTCAGAGCTTTAAGTCAACCAAGCCCTCTTTCGAAAATGTGCCAAACACCTACATGAGATAGGTGTCCCAGTGTTGAGATAAATAAGCAAAACTGACAGACCAACCTTGGAACAGTAAAAGAATTAATGATTAATCTTTCTTAAAACATTTCTGCTAGGAAAATAGAACAACATAAGTCTACATTGTAGTTTAATGTTTTACTCATTATGAGAAGTACAATTTTATTTTATTTTTTATTTATTTTTTTGACAGGCAGAGTGGACAGTGAGAGAGAGAGACAGAGAGAAAGGTCTTCCTTTTGCCATTGGGTCACCCTCCAATGGCCGCCGTGGCCGGCACATCGTGCTGATCCGAAGCCAGGAGCCAGGTGCTTCTCCTGGTCTCCCATGGGGTGCAGGGCCCAAGCACTTGGGCCATCCTCCACTGCACTCCCGGGCCACAGCAGAGAGCTGGCCTGGAAGAGGGGCAACCGGGACAGAATCCAGCACCCCGACCGGGACTAGAACCTGGTGTGCCGACGCCGCAAGGCAGAGGATTAGCCTATTGAGCCACAGCGCCGGCAGTGAGAAGTACAATTTTATTTTCTTTTTTTTGTGCCTAAGGTTCTTTTAAGACATTGCTGTTGAGTAAATTTTGTATCTATTTCCATTCTCTGTTTAACTAGAATAAAAGCATCTCACAAATAATGGAAAAATATCATTTCCACTGTTATAGTAGTACATGTAAAATTTGTTTACTTTGGTACTCTATTGTATCATCCAGAATAATTACCTTTCATTTCTGAGAAATTTCATTTCCCCATGCCATCTATAAGCTTTTCAAGGGAGGAATAGGGGCAGGCATTTGGTATACTGATTAAGATGCCATCTTGGCCGGCGCCGTGGCTCAATAGGCTAATCATCCACCTGTGGCGCTGGCACACCAGGTTCTAGTCCCAGTCAGGGCACCGGATTCTGTCCCGGTTGCTCCTCTTCCAGTCCAGCTCTCTGCTGTGGCCTGGGAGTGTAGTGGAGGATGGCCCAGGTCCTTGGGCCCTGCACCCGCATGGGAGACCAGGGAAAGTACCTGGTTCCTGGCTTCGAATCAGCGCGGTGCGCTGGCCGCAGTGTGCCAACTTCAGCGGCCATAGGGGGTGAACCAACGGAAAAGGAAGACCTTTCTCTCTGTCTCTCTCTCTCTCACTGTCCACTCTGCCTGTCCAAAGGAAAAAAAAAAGATGCCATCTTGCTGTGGCAGGGTAGGTTAAGCCTCCGGCTGCAGTGCCAGCATCCCATATGGGCACCAGTTCAAGTCCTGGCTGCTCCACTTCCAATCCAGCTTTCTGCTAATGGCCTGGGAAAGCAGTGGAAAATGGCCCAAGTGCTTTGGCCCCTGTACCTACATTCAAGAACCTGAAGAAATTTCTGGCTCCTGGCTTCGAGTCTGCCCAGCTTCAGCACTTGCTGCCATTTGGGGTGTGAACCAGTGGATGGAAGACACCTCTCACTCTCTGTCTCTCCCTCTCTCTGTCTGTAACTTTTTGAATCTTTAAAAAAAAATGGCACTTGAGATACCTACATGCTGTATGGGGTTCAAGTTCATGTTCCACTTCCCATTTTAAATTCCTGCTAATGTGCACACTGTGAGGCAGCAGGTCAGGTGATGCTTCAAGTCTTGGGTCTCTGTTTTCCACATGGAAGACCTAGATTGAATTCCAGGCTCCTGACTTCAGCCGAGCCCAGCCCTGGAGTTTGAAGGCATTTGGGGTGTGAACAGAGGCTGGAAGATCTCTGTCTCTTTCTCTGCGCTTTTCAAATGAATAAAAATAAATAATTTTTAAAGGGAAAGATAATTTCAAGAATATTTGAGGTTTAACCACATTGCCTTAGTGAACCTGCACGTTGAGACATGATTTAATATTATTGAAGCAAAATGAGAAAATATTTGAAGATCTTTCTTCACACATTGCAGTACACACTGTTGCATCTTCTGTTCTGTCCAGAAGAGGGCAGTCTGTAGTCCACATTCATCAGGAAAAGCATTTTCTGGCTTCCACCCTGAGTCTCACCACATGCAGAAGCAATATTCACTGTGTTGAAAATCTGGTTCTCTAAAAGTGCCTACTGGTTCGCAATAACAAGTACAAACTCACAATACTTGAACTTTAGTGAGAAAATAACTGATTCTCATTGAATAATAGACAATGAATGCTTCTTGACAATTTTATTAAAATATTTAGTTTATTCCACTATTTATGTGAGTGAAGAAAGTTTCAAAAGAGGGAGATTCATGTCCTTACTCTGTGGTCATTTGTGATTACAAAGTGCAAACATTAAATAGACAATCAAATCATCATATATTATGCTTCACATTTTATGGAAAATGTTTGAAAGGTATTTAAAAACTCACCAGGTAGGCAAGTATATTAGGTGGACTCCTTTAGGTTGTTAGCCTGTGCGTATGTCAGGTCGTGGGGATTTATTGTAAGGATGTTCTGGAATCCAGTAGTCAGGCCTCCTTGGAAAACAGTAATCAGGGAATCTTTCAGTGTACATTGTCACTTCAGAGTACACCTTTGTGGCTCCCTACTTAAGTTTTCTGTCATTTTTTCTTTAAAAAATTATTTGTTTATTTGCAAGTCAGAGTTACACAGAGAAGAAGGAAAGATACAGAGACAGTGAGAGAGAGAGAGAGAGATCCTCTATCCGCTGATTCACTGCCCAGATGGCCACAATCACCAGGGCTGCACCAGGCTACTTAGCCAGGAGCCAAGAGCTTCATCTGGGTCTTCCATGTTGGGTGACAGTGGCCCAAGCACTTGAGCCATGTTCTAGTGATTTTCAGAGCAATGGTAGGGAGCTGGTTTGGAAGTGCAGCAGCTGGGACACAAACCGATGCCCATATGGATGGCAGCAACGCAGGCAGCAGCTTTACCCACTACTCCACAATGCTCAGTTCTCTGTCATTTTAATGACTCAAGTATTCTTTACTTTTTTGCTCTTGGAAGCATCTTTCATTTGTTCTTTTTCTTCTCTCCATGTCTGTGCTTCTGGTGCTGGCTGGTTTTTGCTGTCCTACGACTTCTACTTACTCTTCTCTCCAGATACCTGGGTCTTCTGCCCCATCACTTCAACTTTGATTTTCTCATGTTCAAAGTCACAGAAAAAGGATCTGTAACTTGTTCAGTCAATCACTCTAACCCTCTATTGATTGATTTTTTATGTTGATAATTTTCAGGCCCCTAGCCAAACTCATAGTGTGTTTGCTAAACCCGGAGAAGCAGAGTAATGAGACACAGAGCATGGCACCATGGGGATTCCCTCAGGAAGGAAATGTAGGTATGAAAAACATTCTGAGATTTTTCAAAACAGGGCAAAGTGGTTGGCAAATAGTTTATTCTTCCTGTCTAGGAAGTTACAACTGCTAGTAACATGTGAATCTTAGTTTATCTATGAACATCCTGCTTATTTATATTACTGAGTTAGTGTTTGTTTTCCTTTATTCCAGATGCTAGAATCTGGATGGAGTATTCATGTATCAGATGACATTTAGTACATTAACTATAGCATATCGAAGCAGAGAGAGCCGTCTTTGTTATACATTTTGCAGGCAATAATCAAGTAAGCAAACCTTTAAAAAATATGCTTCCCCCAGTAACCACATTGTGAGTTCAAAATAAACATTTGAGCCCACTAGCAAGAGTGAAGCAGATGTTTCTCAGAGCAGTAAGCTTAGAGGGGTACTTTGATAGGAGAGAGATAACCAAATTCTCCTAACAAAAATGATATTGTGCTACAATAGGAGTATTAAGTTTTCTTTTGAACTTCCTATAATGAAAGTTTGCTCTAAGCTAATCCTAAGGGACTTTTCCTTTTGTTACTCTTTTTTCTAAATCTTTTTGAGTCCCTTCTCTTGCCATTCTGCATTTTTTCAAAGAATGTTACCAGAGATGACCTGATTTTTTTTTTTAATGTGAATAGGAAAACTGCCCAGATAAAAGGAACTAACTTGAACCAGGCTATTCAAGTCACAGACATCAGCATATCTTAAGCTGTTTTTCTTTCTTTTAGAAAAGGATAAAGAAAAAGAAGTTGATCCTTGTGCTTCTGTATTTTACTTACCCACCATTCTTTTTTTTCCTAATTGTATTTGGCTTCCTTAATTTTCTAAAAAAAAAATACTTTACCTAAAAGTCATCATATTTTACAGTACTGAGTATAAGCCTAAATGTGATGTACCCGGTATGAAGCACAACCCTTGAACTGTGTTGTCATCACAATGTTATGCACAAAACGGGGAGACTTTATTTCTATCCTTTGAATGTTATTAATTTCTATTTTCATTCTTTTTTGAACCAGGATGAAAATCTAAATCTCTCTTTTGGGGTTGCCTTCTACTCCTCCCCTTCCTCCCCACACAGACGTATACACATACCCCTTCTCTTACATACACCTTACTTTAAGATACAGGCTAAGAAATGCAGCCTGCAGGCATAAAATACAGGGAGACCTAGAAGCTCTTTATTTCTATGAAATCTTGGCACTTCGCTTTGTTAAAGTCTCTCATTCACATGGGGGACTTGTTTTTGTGGATATCCTCTCAGAAGGCAGCTCATTCAAGCTTTCACCCCATTGAGGCTCAGAGCATATTCCTGTGATGGTAGCAGACAGCCTCACAGATGCTAAAGTAACTTTTCCCTCGAGGACCTGGAGGGTGGGAGGCTCTGTGCTCCCCCACACAGCTACTGGAGCCAGATACTAACACAAAGCAACTTCTGCTCCCCCCAAACCTGCTCCACCTGGGACAACTCAATGTTTTACCCAAAGCAGCCTGCCAGGAAGTCCTTAACAGTGCTGGGTGCGAAGGGGGCAGTGTGCACGGTGGCTAACTCTCATTTTACCTACATCAGATAGCCAATGCTTGTGACTCTGTTAGTTACAAAGATTCCCCATTTCTAAAGTACTTGGATATCTTGCCACTGTCTTGTGCTAGAATAATTTGTGAATTGATGTTTGAGAATTTAGTCGTTATACAGATGCCAAGTAAAATTCTCAGTTGTTAACCCAAAAAGTCTGGAAGGATATAGAGAATACAGATTCACAAGCAATAGGGCATAAACTGGAGACAAGGCCAGAGAAAGCAGTTCTCAGCACAGGGAAGGCAGAGGAGGACCCAAGTGCTAAAGCTGTGCTCAACAGCTTCCTATGATTACTGCTTTATTTAATTCCTAAACCAAAAAAGAAAAGAAAAAACCAATCAGATGGGTAAGCCTAAATAGGAACTATTTCTTTGCTATTACTGTTTTTCAAAGGTTAACTCACAAAACAGTGGAAGAAGACTATTGAATTCCTTTCCTTTTTTACTTTTCCCAACATATGATATTAAAATCAGTGGGAGTCCTTGGTAAAAAGGAATTAAATTCCATGGAAGTCACAGCCCAACACAGCAGAGCATTCCAGAGAAAGCTGGCATCACAGCTGAATGTCAGGACACTTTGCTACTTAGTAACATTTCTGAGCAGGGAACAAGGATGTGGAAAAAATTAAAGGGAAAAATTCTTTGTGGTCAGAAAGTTCTTAAAATTTTTTAAATTGTGGATATTAACAGCAAAAGCAAGTCGAAATATTTTGAGAATTTTAACCATTTGGGATAGAAATACGACACTTGGATTATTAAAACCTGAAACTTATTTAAACTAATATAATCACTTAAGCTTGATTCTTCCCCACTGAGTAGTCAAGAACTGCCTTATATAAACAACCGAACACTTGATCTATTACACTTGTGGTTCAGGGATGGGTGAAAGGGAAAAAATATAGGAAATTTCCTACTGTGGAAATGCATGTATGTTTAGACACAAGTTCTGTGGCTTTTGCAGACTGGATCAAACCTGCAAGACCATATTGACTGCTGATGGAGCTTTCCAATGTGAAGACAAGGCAGCTACAAGGACAGTTACCCTTAAACTCATTATCCCTCTGCTGTGTCACATTATTTTTCCTTTGGCACAGAGATGCACATACTTCTTAAAGCATAATTCTCAGTAAATTCTGCAAGTCATTAAGTCAACTTAGCCCTGCATCTCACCTTACTTATGCATATTCCTCCTCTGTTTTTAATTAAGACTTCCAGGAAGCCAGGCTTCATCCAGGCATCCTGTTTCCTTGGCATCTTTAACAAGGACACTCTGGGAAGATGTTTTGAATCTTCCAGATAGATTAGCATGTGCAAATCTCCACTGCCCTAAGTTTGCATTGAAGATTGTTGGTTTTATTTTTATTGCTCAACTTATTGAGAGGAAACACATGAGAAATTGATTTATAAAATTGTAGGGAAGGCGAAACTTTACCTCTACCCTCTTAGCTGTTTTTGTGTGTTGTTTTATCTTTGAGAATCAAATTTGGTGTAAGACAGATCCACAGGAAAAAAAAAAACTATTTAACACAAGTTTTATGTGGCATGAGAGCCTTCATAAGTAAATGGAGACCCAAAGAGCTAAACACTTACATACCAAATAAGACAAAACAAGTAGTAGTGATAAAGCAACCAAATTATGACAGGAGATTAAAGATAAAAGTGTTTTAGGGGGCCGGTGCTGTGGCACAGTGGATTAAAGCCCTGGCCTGTAGTGCCACCATCCCATATGGGCACCAGTTTGAATTCTGGCTGTTCCACCTCCAATCCATCTCCATGCTAATGCTGCCTGGGAATGCAGCAGAGGATGTCCCATGTCCTTGGGCCCATGCAGTCTTGTGGGAGACCCAGAAGAAGATCCTGGCCCCTGGATTTTGATAGGCTCGGCTCTAGATGTTGAGGCCATTTGGGGAGTGAACCAGAGGATGGAAGACCTCCCTCTGTCTCTACCTCTCTCTGTAACTGTCTTTCAAATAAATAAAATAAATCTCTAAAAAAATACTCATGGAGAAATGGAATTAAAAGACATTTTTAAAAAGTTGTTTTAATAAAATCTGCATAGAAATCTCTCAGCCTCAGCTTCCTAGCCTTGATGATAAGATTGCTGCTTTGCTTCAAGCATAGGGAGTGCATCTTTCACATGGGAATTCCTTCTTATTTTAAGAAACAACGTAAAGGTCAGAGTGATCTTGTACCTGATGTTTTTCAGGTGCCTTTAACTCAAAATAGACAGTGCCTCAGGATGACATATTTTGGTGTGGTATGAGTTTTGATTTTTAAATTGTTCTTAAATTTTTACTTTATTAGAATACTAGAGACAGAGAGAAACAGAACTTCCATCAGTGGGTTCACTCCCTGAATGCCTGCAACAGCCAGGGCTGGCCCAGATAGAACCCACGAGTCCAGAACTCAATCCAGGTCTCCCACATGGGTGGCAGGAACACAAGTACTTGAGCCATCACTTCCTGCCTCCCATGGCACACGTTAACAGGGAGCTAGATGGGAAGCAGAGGAGTTGGGACTCAAAGGAAGAATTGCATTATGGGATGCAGGTATCCCAAATGATATCTTTTTTTGTTTGTTTGTTTTTACAGGCAGAGTGGACAGTGAGAGAGAGAGAGACAGAGAGAAAGGTCATCCTTTTTGCCGTTGGTTCATGCTCCAATGGCCGCCGTGGTGGGCGGGCTGCGGCTGACGCACTGCGCTGATCCGATGGCAGGAGCCAGGTACTTATCCTGGTCTTTCATGGGGTGCAGGGCCCAAGCACTTGGGCCATCCTCCACTGCACTCCCTGGCCACAGCAGAGAGCTGGCCTGGAAGAGGGGCAACCGGGACAGAATCCGGCACCCTGACCGGGACTAGAACCCGGTGTGCCGACGCCACAAAGCGGAGGATTAGCCTAGTGAGCCACGGCGCCGGCCCCAAATGATGTCTTTTTTTTTTCTTTTTTTTCTTTCTTTCTTTCTTTTTTTTTTGACAGGCAGAGTGGACAGTGAGAGAGAGACAGAGAGAAAGGTCTTCCTTTGCCATTGGTTCACCCTCCAATGGCCCCTGCGGCCGGCGCACCGCGCTGATCCGATGGCAGGAGCCAGGTACTTATCCTGGTCTCCCATGGGGTGCAGGGCCCAAGGACTTGGGCCATCCTCCACTGCACTCCCGGGCCACAGCAGAGAGCTGGCCTGAAAGAGGGGCAACCGGGACAGAATCCGGCGCCCCGACCGGACTAGAACCCAGTGTGCTGGCGCTGCAGGCGGAGGATTAGCCTATTGAGCCACGGCGCCAGCCTCCAAATGATGTCTTAACCACTGTGCCAAATGCTTACCCCGGCATGATATGTTTTGTTTGTTTGTTTTGTTTATTTGTTTGTTTGTTTTGACAGGCAGAGTGGACAGTGAGAGAGAGAGAGAGACAGAGAGAAAGGTCCTCCTTTTGCCGTTGGTTCACCCTCCAATGGCCGGCACACCGCGCTGATCCGATGGCGGGAGCCAGGTACTTATCCTGGTCTCCCATGGGGTGCAGGGCCCAAGCACCCAGGCCATCCTCCACTGCACTCCCGGGCCACAGCAGAGAGCTGGACTGGAAGAGGGGCAACCAGGACAGAATCCGGCACCCCGACCGGGACTTGAACCCCGTGTGCCGGAGCCACAAGGTGGAGGATTAGCCTATTCAGCGACGGCGCCAGCCGATTTGTCTTTACCCCTTCAAAATAAACCTAAGTGTGTGGGTTGAAAATGATAATAGTTTGGGAAATATTTCATCAGTGGAACTATTTGCAATGAAATTTCATACCAGGAGATAAAAAACATGGAGTCAATACACCAGGAAACAAAACCTGAAGGCAAAAGCAAAATCTGTTAAGTTCTAAGGATTAAGAAACACATCAAAACAGCAAAGCAAATTCTGGGTCATCCTTGCTTGGTGTGATTTTTAGGTCATCTCAAAAGTAAGATTTAGTCCAGAATTGCCCTGACCTCTCAGTGACACTCAAGGCAGAGATGATCAACTTTACTTGTTCCCTGGAAGCTTTCTGAAAAAATTACTCCTGATGCTCAGGGCTTACTTTTGACCAGTTAAATCATTATCTCTGAGACCAATGTGCAGGCATTAGAACTTTTTGAATTCTCCCCAAGTGATTATTATGAGTGTCCCATGATGCTCTGGGTAATCATAGGGGAAGTGAAGTGGCAGGTTAGGACTGCCACTC